CTGTTCAATCATAGTCAATAGAAAAAACTCTGGTCTGGAAGTCTTTTGTTCTAACTCTTTGTTCGTGTTTATTGAAATCACGTGACCTAAGTAAGGGGACGCGTGAAAACAAGTGTGTAGGATTGTTGTTGAGTTTTGAATGTTTCACGAGAGTATTGGTAATTTTACAATCTATTCTGTGCTGATATTATTAAAACTATGGTCAGCTCATATTGTGCAGTTCAGGGATGGGGCATTTCTGTCACCACTCTTACTCGGAAGTAAGATTTCTTAGAACTTCGCGACGCAATTGACAATATTTTTTTGGCTTGGATAAACGGTATAGAAAGAATAACACGACTGTAAACAATTATTTTAAGCGTCACATTGAATCTGGAGATGTTTTTAGTTGCGAGAACATCGGCGTGGGGAAAAATTGGATGGGTTATTTGCAGCCCCCCTATCTCAGACAAAACTGTCACATTTCCGACTCCACTCGGACAGTTCTATCTCAATGAAGAAACGATTTTCAGGGAAGATCCATGCTCAGCCCCCCTGAACGTCGAACATCCGCTACGCGCCTGGCGAAAACCATTACCAATTTAGAAATTTAAGAAATTTTCAATGCTCTGTTTCTCCAAAAGTCACATTTTGTAGTATGTTCAAGCGAAATGAGGACCTCAATTATTGCAATCTTAAATGTCCTGTCTAGACCTGATAAGAGTTTTGAAACAAAAATACGAGCCTTCGTGGAACATTGATGAAGTCGAGTACGTTGCTGATACAGATATGGTTGAAGTTCGAAGAGCCAAAATAGGGTGTGATCAAAAAACTTATGAAAGAATTTTCAGAGGAATACACAAAGGACAAACAACAGGGCGCCCTCGCCATCATCATTTTGGACCAAGGACCGAGATAGCGGGGGGCCAGGAGCCTTGCCCCCCAAAAACTTAATAGCATAAGTAAAATACTTTTATTTTCTAAAATTTGGCTGTTGCTACACTTATTAATCAGGGCTTCACAACCCCTTCCCCCTATCCCAAAAAAGTGAACAAAATGTTGTATCTCGGTCTCTGTTTGGACAGAACAAAAGTATTCAACGTAGAAACATTGGTTGAAAAGTTGATAGATGAAAAAACAATAGAGCAATCAGATTCGACTTTTTTGCATCCACATTTAATCAGCTATCATCTGTTTTAGGGTGTGAAAAATGTTTTTTGAAAGTTAGTTTTTTTAATCGCGAAGACAGACTTTGAAACGCAGAAACTTTGTCAAAAGCCCAAATGTCATTGTTTTTGACACTCATGGGTCGCCTGTGTGCGCTGGGCCTCACAAAACTATCTGCATCTGCTATTGCGAGAGAAGAAAATGTTCTATCTTGTCCCCTTACTTAGGTCACGTGATTAGAATAAAAGTGTTTTCAAGTTCTAGATGAGAACAAAAGAACAGAACAATGGGCTTCCAGACCAGAGTTGTCTCTATTGACTATGGTTCCATGGCCAATTTGGGTATCATATTTTATTGATCTTCCACTGAACTCAAGCACTAAGCATGTATTTAATGTCGTAATATATTCAGATTGGCACTATTTGTGAGCATAAATCTTCAGAAAAGATCCAATCTGTGAACATCTTGTTTTATGCCTGACATGTTACGTAATGCTTTGGCAAGCTTGACACTTCTAGTCAATACCAGAGACTGGCACAACCAGATAATCCACCCAGAATATAAAGAACTTGTTGTCGCCATCAACCAATATACATCTGGTTATGTGATAAAATGTGCATTTATTTTTGACCAAGGAATTTGAAATAAGCCTGCCTACCAAAAACCAAGCTCCTTCATACCAGATATAGATACAGTTTAAGAAATTATGTAGCATATTCATTATGTTCATTCTCTGCAAAGTTTTGTAAATGCTATGACAGGCAACTAAGAGCCTGTTGAATATAGCCTATTTTTGTAAAAAGTGACTCATTTTGTTTGTTAACTGATGTATCAGGGCTTCAGATGACAAGTTAGGAAAACTTTCAAACCCAGAGTGGTTCCATGATAACTTAGTTAGACAAAACAGTATCTATGTTCTAAATCTAAGAATAAGTTTTTTCTTTCAGGATCATTTTTCATCCAATCAACAAAACAGATTATAAAGTAATTGAGTTAAAAATATCTGCTGGGGCACCCGGTCAGATATATGAAGATGGGCAGCAAAAGGTTGGATAGTTTGTTGAACATCATTCTCCTTTTTGTTGTTTCAATGTCATTACAACATCAAATTATGACTATTATATGACTTTGAAAAAACCATGTCAATTTTTTCAAGATCTGTTATTTTGCTTTAGAAAATCAAAGTTGCTTGTTCTCTTGTAGCTGTACCTGTTTTCAGACAATGAGGTACTAGGCCCACTATGGCCTCTAGAAATACAGCATTTAGTAAAGAAGAGATTTCAAGAGGTTTGTAGATACCATTTTGATAATAACCCATTCTATGTTTGGATATGCATGCTAAAATATTCTTGATAACATAAGGGGGTTAAATTCCTTGGCCCAACCGGCATGCTTTGTGACTATATTTTCAAAACTGGCCTGATATGGAATTCCATGAATAAAACATCAATTTCTCAAGATAGCTGGCTGTGCAAGATTGTGCAAGAGTCTTTAAAATAACAAGGAGGTAATTGTTGTTTCCCACCCAATACCAAGTTAAAAAGACAAGCAGCCTTATTGTTAATTTGTTCGGGGAGCTATTGGCCCCTACCTGCCTCTCCTTTTGAATTAATTCTTACTTCTAACATCCCTGAATTAATTACATCACATTGTCTATGAATTAGTTTTTGATTTCTGCTATTGACTATTGAATTAGCATTGATTTTTAAATAAGATAATTAGAATGTTTTGAGACAAAATACTTGCTATCTTTTTATTCAGTTTGTTTTTAATGTTCAATGAAATTTTGAAAACTTTATCTTACTTTTATTGTTTCACTTTTATAGAGTTTAAAATCATTTACTGGACTAGAGAGCTATACAACACCTGCACTAGCCAAAAGACAAAAACAATGCACCTAACGTAAATTGAAAAGTACACTTTTTTAAATGTGATTTAAAATTATATTTTTGTCTTATCTATTTGTTCTTGTATTTGCTAAAAACTTTGTTTCCATATTATTTGTTTCCATGCGTGCTTTATGTGATCTTACATCTGCAATTAAGTTTTAGAACTGAGCGAAGAAGGTGTTTGTCTCCCTCATTCATATCAATCAAATTTGAAACGGTGCAAATTCATAATGTTAGAAGGAAGAAATCTTGTTACAGTCCTATAGGAGAGCAAACATTTTAAACTGTGTACATTGCATGCCCGCCAAAATCTCTTGAATGCCCAAACATGTTAATAGTTCAAGTAAATATCACATTGATCAAGTAAAAACTATACGTCAGAACCTGTACTACAATGCCTGGCAAAAGTCTTGGAACACTGACGTCAATTTCCAAGGTCAAAATCACGCACCCCCCTCTCCCGTACAGAACTTTGTTGGTTTACTATCAAACGGGTTAGGATTTTAGGAAGCACTTTCTTTTGCGCTTCTCTTATGATATTTCTCTAAATCATCAACATTGTTTTAGGGGGGAAGGGGGCGGAAGTAGTAATTTTTTTCATGAAAGGAATGAAAGATATCGAATGAAGCGTAAATTGCTGGGTGTTCCTAGTACTTTTGGCAGGCATTGTACGTTGCTTCGTAAAAAATCTACTGTGCTTGAAGAGGTAATGAAAAGCCAATGTAAGATATCATAATTGAAACATGAAGGTGTTCCAGAGTCGTTAAAATCATAGTCAGAAACCAAGTCTAATTGACAGTGTCCCTCAAGGTGGTGTTTTGGATCCTATGCTCTTCTTAATGCGGCTCGTCAAATAACTGAAGCCTTTCGATAACCTTGATTGTTTCAAAGAAAAATATGTTTAACTCAAACTTAACTGAACTATTGAAAGCTACGAAAAGCACAAACCGAGATAATTCGTTGCTTTATTCACTTCACAAACTCGTCAGTTACCATGAAGCAACTTTGACCTATTGCAACGTCCGTAGCTCTTGTCTGTGTTTTTGTTGACCAATAGCAAGCGATTTGATGGGTTCTTTAGAAAAGGTAGAAAAGACACATTGTGTAGGAGGATGCACCCAGAACATTAAAAAAGCTACGCTGGTGACACTTCTTAAATATCATATAAGACACACTCCGTACTTTTTTGAGGATGTTTCTAAACTTTGTAGACAAAAGTTTATGAGCCAAACAGGAGCGCTTTGCCTGAAAGGATAATGGAACAATTATAGCCAAAATAGGCGGCACCAAAGAAGGACTTTAAAAGATGTGTTCTATCTTAAAAATCCGAGGAGAAAATGTTGGAGGGATATACGAGGAGAAAATGCTGGAGGGGGAAGAACAATGGCATTTGAAGTGAACATTCTGATTTATTGAGGTACAAAGAAAAAAGACAAGTCATTTTGTACATGCCGATAAGTATATGTCAAAATATTGCAACTTTACTATGACGTATATGCCATACTTTGTAGACAGCGACACTTTTGCACCAAAAGGCATGTTTTCAGGGAAAGGTGTGGTCCTCCAAAGCATTTTCCTGGGGCTTTATCAAAAGACCCACACCCTCCCCATCGCTAGGTGGCTTGCGCCGCTTCTGTAATCATATCTTCTTAAAAAATTGATAAAACACTGGTTGTAAGTTTGGACAAAATAATTTCAATGAAACTTTCTGAAAGCTTTTCGACTTTCGGCGTAAATTTATTTTAAAAATGTTATAATAATATGGAATGGAATAGCGAATGATTAAAAATTTGGCGTACGGAATCGCCAAAGTGCCGTTTTTGACTCGTAACTAAATTGCCAAAGTGCAGAATGGTCACAGTAAGAGCAAAACTTTGATATTATAATCAAGCTTTAAAAAGATGTCATATACATATCTTATAAACCTTGATTAATTTGAAACTTTCAGTAACAATAAAACAAGCTTCGTTATCTTACTGGCAATTACATAAATATATTTTCTCCCAGAAAGCAGTAATTCAGAAACGATCCTACTGATCATGGGAAGAATGTTTTATTCCATGTGTAACTTGATTGAAAAATCTGTCAAAAAGCAACATCGATTGTAATCATTGTCCCGGACAATGGACTTAGTAACGAAGCACATTTGCAGCGCTGTATGGAATGAGTAAAAAAGCTAACAAAGAACTAGCGTGATGATGCAAAGAATTTTTTTATAAATTAACCCGTTCCCCCTTATACACATAAAATAAGGCGATGAGCAAATGCATTACAATAACGAACTACCATGGAAGCCAATTACAAAAATGTGTGTCAAATGTGATTAGGCCTACCCGTATTTAGGGATGAGTTACGGTGAAACTGGCGATAAGTTTCTCAGTTGTTCGAGATCCAAAAAAACCTTGCAATACTAAATGATGCCCCAAAAAACCTTTGGCTTTCAACCAGACCGTCCAACTTTTCAGGTTTCAACAGGCAGTTCTGCATGAGTTTGAAAACATCTGCATTATTTCATTATTGTAATAAAAACGAAAATGACGAATACTGTGCATAATCGCAAAATCCTTGCATAGCTTCGTCAGGGTTATCTAGAAGTATCCCCCAAATCGTTATCCCCGGGGCCTAATCACATCACTATCTTTAAATCAGCAGAAACAACTATATTATGTTTCTAAACAGTGCGAAGAGGATCAAGTCTTCGCAATAACTTTTTAACCAATATTGAATTTTGGGTGGACGCTAAAAAGATGGAAATTTAGCCTGCGCGCACTCACGCCTTGCTCTCTCAGAGACAATTTAGTTACATGAGACTAGAGTGAATTGAGTCGAGAATTAGGGTAGTTGGGATAGAAATCCTAAAATTTTTAACCAATTAAACTTAGTCTCATTAACCTCCTTTCTAGGAAAACCAGTCGTGTCTGCGCGCAGCCTAGTTAAATTTTGCTAAGCAGGAAAGCTTTGAACTTTTTTATAAAAGCAGCTAAACATGAAAATTCTATCAAACCAGAAGAAGCTATTTTGCGCATAAATATCGATAAATAAATATGTATACAGTAATTGTGCAAAAAGAATATAAATGATTGTTTGAGAATATCTACAATAATTAAAAAATATAAATACATAAATATATGAGTTGTTTTGATGAAAATATCTAGATTATGAGTTGTAAATACTGTTATATCTCGGTGAATGCTTTAAAAATATTATTTAGCGTCTAAAAACCGGGAAGGCGCTTTCGTGAAACAATTGACGTGCCAGCAAAAATAAGGGTGCCTGACAAAATGGGAAGCATGGGTTCATTTTGATCTGCTTGTAGGTTAATTAACAGAGTTTGGATTTATTATTGTCTTTTATTATCTTTTTGCCCCGGTTGATTAGACTCCGCTTCTACGAGAGGTGTTTCTATGTGAGGGGCATACACCTTTGCGCCAAGAACATGGCTTGGGCCCGCGTTCTGTCTCGCAACTTTCTGAGAGAAATTATTTGATTGATTCGCATTTTCTCCTTTTCTCTGCGCTCGTTTCGATTGATAGTGGTTTCTCTGATAGCCCTTGCATTCGCAAAAGTGTACGGTTTGTTTTACCATTGGACAGTTCATTTCTAGCTCACATGTATGCAAGAAACAATGTATATAAAAATATATTTTGAGTCATTCATTTTGCCACTTTGATTTAGGAACGCCTATCATTATCTCCCAGTCCTTAGCGAGAAACGCAGTTATCAACTATTTTACGAAAGCGTCCTCATCATTGAAAAATAAGCCACATTAAAACCCATTACCCAAGCATTTTTCTATTTCATTTATAAGCGATTTAAGCCCATATATGTAATTCTCGTCAATACAATCAGACATTTCCTCTAAATCGCAAAATGTATGTGCAAAATCTATCATTTTCACAACACATTTTTCCCTACCAATACATTCTTCACCCATCTCGAGGTTTGATTTCCGATGTGAACCCAACAAACTGGCAGGAGGAAAGTCATGGATTCCCACATTCTGAAAGTGAAAATTCGCATTGGCTTTTTTCTCAATCTGGTATATCTCGCCGAGTTCAAAGGATTTCGAGCCGTTGGCATCTGTCGCGAAATGTTCTTGCTTTTGCCATGCTTTTTTCTCAGTAATCTTTTGGCTCCCGTCGTACGCTATTAACAGAGATGTGCGAAAGAATTTAATTCGCTTCTGCTTCTCGAACCATTGCAACAGTTGCTTCAATTTATTAATGACTTCCTTAACCAGATATCTCCTCTCGGGAAAACTTTGGATGTCAAAGAAATAAGAGAAGGCTAGAAGAAAAAGCAGAATTTATTCGTTACATCACAAGTCACCGGTTTAGAGTCTAGCCGTTGTTTTAATCTCCACAAAAGCATTATACTAAACATTATACAGTTATTATTCTATCTATTATACTAAATTCTAAATTACTTCCCCACACTTTTGATATTCTTTTATCTATCACTTGCTACGCTTCTATGCAATTGTCTTATTTCATGTCTCATTTCAACGCGCTTTGTTACTTCTTCAAAACAAATTTTTCATCCAAATCTCTTTCCTTGTAGAATACTGAATAGAATATTACACATTACAGATTTTTTTAGCTTTGTCTTATTAACTTGAATGTTTTCCTTATTATCTTCATTATTCACAGTATAAAGCGAGCCTTGGGTTGTAAAAATAGTCTCTATTTAGGTTGACTGGCATTTTGCTATAAAACGTACGAGGTCAGATCACGTCTACACTATCTCGTCTGAAAACAAAACTTTGTTAGCATTGTTCAGCCAATGCGAGCAGTCAGAACGTACATGAATGTCCAGCAATACCAAAAATACCAAAAAGAATACACTTACTTCTTGTAATGTCTTGTGGCTGGATTCCTTTGCAGTAAAAACGGTCGAACAATTCTGTTTCATTCGTTTTCGCCTTGAAAAGCTGTTGACAATGAAATATGCATTAACCTTATGGATACTTTCTATAGCATAAAATACGAACTGTTATGAGGCTGAGCGGTTCGACTTAAAATTCGTACAGAAGTATCTCTAAAATTCATTTCTCCATGATTTCACTTTTGGGAAACAAGTTTTAGCTGGTATTAAATGAGGGAAGGGGGTGTTGCCAAGAAACACTGTATGCCTTCTAAGTATTTTTCAAAAACATAGGATTGGCGATGGGCAACGTCTTGAAAATTGGCTTTCGATGATGGTCATGAAAAACATTTCATTGAGGAAACGGAGCCCAAAATTGCATAACTTCCAGCCATCTTAATGCTGTGTGCATGGTCAAAGTGGTATTACAATAGGAAATATCACATCGTTGTGAAGGAGAAGAAAACCTGTAAAGGAACGCAAGGTGGACAATTGGTTAACCCTACATATAGGCCGGTTTCCACTTGAGCGAAATCTTCAGCGAACTCGTCAGCGACAGGAATGTCCTTTGTTCTTTCCGCGCATAGGAGAATTCGTTAGCGAAATGTGGATTGAAAGCAGTTCAACTTCCCAGCGAAACACGACTTCGAAAACACGCTCGGCGAATTTGCTGGCGAATTCGCTCTAATGGAAACCGGCCTTATAACACAAAGTAGCCCCGAAATAAAAAAACGTCAAGTGAAAGAAGAGAATAGAAGATGAGTAATACACAAAGGACTCTTTAAAGAAAAAGGTAGATGATGCAACTAATACCACATTCAGCTCACACCACCATTGCTAATAGCGGGAAAAGAACATTAAACTACCCGAAATGCCCGAGAGACACATTACCTTGAAGCCGGTGACACGGAATCCGAGCTGAGCCTGGTATTTATACCGGATTAACTCCCTCTCGACTTTTTGTGGATCTGCAAAAGGGTCAAACGTTTTCTTTCCAATTTTAATATCGATAATACAAGGTTTTTCCAGATTCTTCGTTAGGTCTTCCATTTTTAAATATTCTACTGTGATTTAGTTAAAGAACAATAAAAGAGCTTGAGAAATCACTGGCAGTGCCAGCTGCTGCAGAGTGGGAGGGTAATATGCGTGGTGACCAGTGAGACCACGACCCTCTGCATTATTCCAGTGCCTTATACGAAGTGTACTTCCCTAAGAAAAATCTAAAAAAATATGACCTACACCTCCCCAGTGCGTTTTTAATTAATATTTAGAAGAATTATGTGAACCATGTTTTGATAAAAGTAGAGGGGGGAATTACCCCCACCCTCTCCAATACCATGCCTTGGTACTGCCACTGTAAGAACGCAAGGCAGGACACTATATCAGCATTAAAGTGCAAAAAAATAAGTTAAAAGGATATTGTTTAAATGATTACACGAGTTTGTGTCACATTTATACAAGTGTGGTCAAATGATGCATTTAAAATAGAATTATTCCCAATACAGTCAAAAAAGAAACACATCTTCAGTACAATTATGGAAAAGTTGGATTTTTTATGTCAACAAGAAAGGACAGTAATCAAAATAAAAGATTTGTTACTATAGATACAAAATAAATACTTGGAAAAATATTTTATCGATTGAAAATATTTTCTTTGAATATGTTTTAAAGGATACAATTCTTCCCTAGATGTGTGAGACTTATTTTTCCGTAATAAAATGGAAGAAAATCCTTTAATGTTCTCCATTCTTCATTCCTTGGTTCCTTTTTGAAAACATGTTCATAAAAAACTTCCTCAAGACACTCCTTATGAGACTTTGCCTCAAGCAACTTTAAAACATGTCCATCATCATCCAACATAAAACCTGCAGATAATCCAGAAAACTTTATGGGGTGGATGCAAATAAATCTTTGAATTTTATGTAGCAAACAAGAATTTAAAAAATTGTATCATGCTAATTGTCAAATCAATAATTAAAAAAAAGACAAGGGCTGTGAATTAATTTATTTATGTGCAAAGGCTGTAAGCAACAGAAAATACTTAAGCCAAGAAATTCTTAAGGGCAATTTTGGCAAGCTAGCAAAAATTAAGTTTACAAAAAGCTTATAGTTAATCAAAAACAACATTTTATACAGAGCTCTTAGCTAAAGCAATTTCATGGTTTTCTTTTCCCTGTTCACATGACCCTAGCATGATATTGTATGACTTTCAAGACCCACTGTCAACCAACAACGAAGCCTCTACATTCTACAGGGTCTTCTCTTGTTTATAAACATCACACCTGTTCAATTTCAAGATTTTCTGTGTCAGAAAATAAAAATTGTGCAGAAGTATGATTCTTTATGAGTATTCTGGCATTCAAAAATTAATTTCAAATTCCATAAAATTTTCAACAGCTATATCTAAGGACAGGATTGAATGGAATGTCTGAAAACAAAAAGCAGTTTCCCATATCCCTGTATATCATCATGCAAATTGTTTTCAATTTTTTTCAATAGCTATTGTTTCCTCTGTCAGCGGAATCTGATGTGGCAGAGTGGCACCTTTGTTTTCAGCAGGCATACAAAGCAGCATTCTAATAGACACCAGCAGCTTCATTCCTTCAGTATGATTACCTTCCCAGTGTAACTGCACATTTTTAATTTCTGATATAGGAATTCCTGAAATTGAGCAGGCACAATGTTGATAAACAAGAGAAGACCCTGTGAAATATCTTTGTTAGAAAACCCTGTAAAACAAGAGAAGACTTCTTTGTTAGTTGACAATGGGTCTCATGTTTATTTTGATCTCCTGTGTTGACTCTCAAAACCAGTTCTGCCTGGCCTATACCCATTTTCATTGGAAAGGTTTAAAAAAGAACATAGTACTGGGCATTGTGAATAGTTGAGAAACTCTAAGTACTAGCCTGACATTGCTAAGAAAAATGTAACATTCTAATGTTTTTCAGTAAAGAAATGACTGAAAATTGTAAACAGGAAGTAACAAAGTACATTATAATACAAACATGGACTGTCCTGCACTGACAAATGGCCCCCAACTTGCTCCCTAAAACTCTTGTAACCACTTATAGGTGTTGGTAGAACTGATGAAGCTGTAAATATCACAGGACGCTTTGAAGGATCTCTTTTGTCAACATGAAGATCTGTTTTACCAGCAATGATTTCATCTAACAGGCGATCTTCATGCAAATCTCTGTCAGCAACTATACAATCACTTGAAGAATAAATGAAGAAATTTACATTATATAGGCCTAGATGGAAAGTTGTAAAAGTTATAAAAAGGTTAAAACTAGATGAATAGAGATTAGAAAGAAAAACAAATTTAGATGTTTAGCCTAGAATGAAACGGATCAAAAGGGGAATTTGTGAACTTGGGAATAGGCAAATTTGTTAACTTAAAGGCATTTGGGAGAAAATTATTAATGTACCCTGAGAGAATCAAGGGCTTAGTGTTTGCATGGAAAAAGTTCTACTGAAAATCCTTACAGCGTGGAAGATCAAAATTTTGAAGATTTAACAGAAGGTGACACCATGCCAGACTATGCGCGCAAACGTGGTGAAATGGGCGGTACCAAAGGCCTAGGCCAAAAACACAAAACTTGCATTAAATACCACTAAATTATCAACACATAGCTGCCCTTTTGGAGCAATTTTTAGCGATAGTGTTATGGTACTTGCGTTATGAAATAATCGTCTTGTTGACATTTCTTGCGATTGGGAACCCGAGTTCTGGAGTGGAGGGACACAGAGAGACGGGCCTAAGAAAGACAGATAGTTTTACAATGACGATCCAAAGTGGACTAGATTCGCTTGTTTCATTTATTCCAGGAAGCTGTAAATCAAATTTGATGGTTTCTTGTATTATAGGTTACGAAAATTAATGCATACCTTGCCATGCTTTTTTGCAATATTGAATGCCAAGGCTGTTGTTAGGAAAACTTCATCCTCTGGCTTGTTAGGTGTCAGTGTTGCCTTTTCTGCTGTAGTTGTTGTTGTTTGTTAGATTTTCAAGCAGTCACTATGGGTGGCTTCCGCCCCCTCTATTTTTTTGCAGATAATAATTTAGAAGATAATACAAGGTTAAAATAAAAGAAATGAAATAGAGGATAAGAATAGTGCAATAAATCTATAGAGCCTCATAAAGAAATGATTTAGATTTTAAGACTGGAATTAATCAAACCCAACAAAAGCATGCATTAATAATAGTAAAGCATTTTGATAAACGATTTTCTGAAATGACCACTGGAGGGGAAAACCCTTGCTATGATATTCCAGGCAATTTACCAGACAAAAGCTACACAATTTAGCTAGCTTCTTTATGATAAAAACGTATATTCAGCAGGGACCACGGAAGCAGGGGGGCTAAGGGGGCTATAGTTTTCATAATGTACTTAAAACAATACAAAAAGGCACCCTGTTCTTGGTTCTTAGCATGTTTAGCCCCCCAAAAAACTTTTGAGTCCCCTCAATCCGATATATGCTCGGTCCTTGATATTCAGCTATATCACAAGATATATCGAGTTGAATGCCATGAAGCTGCTGCAATAAAACCGTATAAATATGTCATTGCAGATAAAAAGAGCCAAATGACTATTGTTTTTTGATAAATATTTTGCAAGTGTCCTTATTGTTGTTTTCATAGCACGGCGACCCTGGTTGAACGTATTTTGAATGTTACTTTGCGTTGCCTACGTGATTGGAAACTAAGATTTGTTTCGAAGGCTTATTGCTCCATACGTTTCGAAACTCTTCACCAGGTCGAATTCTTAGTTTTAAGCAAGCATCTGCCCATTATGGAAACGCTGGAAGACACGAAGAGAATCGGTTTGTTTACGTTTTTTCAAGAGGCGAACAAGGACCTCGTTTATGCTGTGTATGGTTCATGTTCAGGCAGGTAAGGCAATCTAAAAAATTCAATAATATTCTTTAACGTGTACAGATTCGTAGAGTGAACTTTCCAATGTTTACCACATTTGTGTAAAATAACTCCATATGACGTCATACTACGTCACAAAACCATTTTACATGCTGGTTCTAACACTCAAAATACTTTTTATATCCATAAGAGCTTCTATGCCAAGTTTCAGACATTTAACAAAAGCTACACAATTCTAGTGATTTTTTAAACAAATCTAAGGCACTATGACAAAGCTCCCCTTTTTTAACGAAAAAAGCATTTATGAGAACACTGGGATCGAAATCGGTGAAATTCAAGAAATAATAGAATAAATACCAGACTCGAAGCTTATCAAAAATTTGACATTCTATCGACGAGAGTTTTTTAGAAAACAAGACAAGCTCGGCTTTATTGCAAAGTTTGATGAGCACCCGTCAAGTTTCTATTGTATTAGTTTGTGTCATTTCCCACAATGTTTTTCTGACAAAGCAAGGCAAAGAAAATAGCCAACTCTCGAACTTTCTTCTTAAAAACTATTTAAGAATAATTTTAGGCTCAGATAAACCATACTTTCTCTGATAAACCCCTAGCCCATAAAGACCTCCTTCTAACAAACGCCTTTCTTCTCCAAAAATAGAACAAATGCCTTCAAATAAATGCCCCTTTTTTATAAACCGTCTCTAAATGAACTACAAAAGTTGTTGCCGGGATATGGTTGTGGCAAGTGGAACCTTTCTCCCAGGCCCCCATATCTTTTTTCTTACCGTCACTGAATGTACAAGCTATTAACTTTCAAAGCATCGTTACGTATAACATTCACTTTGTTGCTATTGCTAACTTGACGAAATCAACTTTGGAGAGTTCTTCTCTCTTGTATGTTACGTATTAATACGATTGCTCTAATGATACGATTGTTCTAATAAACAACAAAACTCTGATTGTTTCTGATAAGACTGGCCTACCAGATTTTTTCTGAAGATCATCGAGATTGGCCTTCCAATGCTGTTACGAACTGTTCTCTCCAAACAAATCACTTAATTTCATTTTGACAGATCAGATACAAAGTAAGCCACATCAGCTTTATTTTGTAAGACCCAAGTTGTTTATTCACCCCTTCTTTATAAGTAGCAGTCGCCACTTATCAGAGACCTTCAGGAAAAAGGCCCAAAACTTTTCAATTTGGAATGATTTTATCATTGCAAACAGTATTTGCAGTCTCATTATTTTAACGTGCCTACAGGCACGGACTTGCCTCGTCAATTAAAATACGTGCTTGTCGGTTTGAATGGCGTGCCTAGACTTTTCATGCAGTTCGCCCACTAAATGTTTTTTCTGGTTATGATCCCTGATATATTCCATACTGTTGCAAAATCGGCCAAGAAGCAATGAAAACATAGGAAGACAAATCTCAAATACACTCTTTTTCTTTTATAAGAACAATTTTATAAGAACACGAGCCTCAAAATTGGTTAAAATTTAAGAACAAATTAAGAACAAGCTGAGGCTGAGCTTCTGCAAAATGCAATTTGGAACAACGTTTTATCTCAAAAATGAGGATTTTTGGTCATGTGTGGGTGCTTTTTCGGCGAATATTCAAACTTATCGGCAAATGAAGGTTGTCTCACTCACTTTGTTGGCAAACGAGGCCTGAACACCTCCCCAAAGCGATAAAGCTAGCAATCACACTGATCGCACCCTATTAATATAAGAACAATTGAAGAACAATCCAGCCTCAGATTTTCGAGAAAAAAAGAACAGTCAGCCTGAACTTGAATTTACTGGTTCTTATAAAAAATAGTGTATACAAACTGTCATTCAAAAACAAAGTTACAGCTGAACAACGTGCATAGTTGTAAGGGTACACTGCGATACCAAACAGCGCAAATTTGTGTGATTAGTAAGGAACATGGGTAGAATTGATATCTCCTTTTAAAATAGCTTTTTGTGAGTTTTTGTCATATCTGCAACGCTATTGGAACAATGGGCGACACTACTCCAATCACAAGAACCAAAGTCTAAAAATAGCTTTTTGATGTTTTAAAGTTGGAGTTGCATCTTATTCTACTCAGCACGTCAAATTACGGCAGGAAACAATGATTTTTTAGTATTTTTTACTCAGTTTTGCAAGATCTTTCTGATAAAATTATCAGATTTGAAAAATTCATAAGTCAAAGTTTTGCTGACCGTGCATTTTTCACGTTTTCTGCAACATTGCTTCCAGTCATTTGCTGGAATGTACCCAAGACTTTAAATGATCAGAGGCCTTTACTTTCATGATTTAAACTTTAAAAATTTTGGTTGGGCAGTTTGATAGATGGTTATGCGAAATTCCCTGTATATTATGTAGGGTTATAAACGAAATTACGGACTTTTCGTCACATTTAGCTTAGCCATGCTCGTCCAAAAAACCCTTGAATTAATCCCTGTTTACACGTGCATCCAGGGCCTCCGACAAAGGGGGGCCGGGGCGGCCATGGCCCCCTCACTTTTTTGCAAAACAATAGAGCTTTTTTTAAAAAAGCTTTGGTTATGATTGTTACATTGTTTCTCTTGGCCCCTCCACTTTCCAACCTACGTCGGAGCCCATGGCATCAAGTATTTCATTCAGGAGTTCCCGGCTTTTACAGTTTAGAATAGTGATTATAATAGCATTTGATAGTATGTAATGATAAACTTTTTTCTTGCCTATGTGCAATTAATTATTACTATGGCACTGAACGTGCAATTTTTAACTATTGAAGAACGCCTGGTGGCAAGTGGAACCGTTCTCCCAGGCCCCCATATCTTTTTTTGCAGTCTTTTTGTTATCTTCACAATTTCTTTCCGATGAAATAGCATTAAATTCTTCTGGCTTGCATTTTGCAGCAAACTGCACTTTTTAAAATAGATACGGAAAATAAATCAACTATTACAATGTCACAGCTGTATGGTCAAAAAAGGTACTTTGGTGTATTGAAATTCGGTGCAAAACAATGTCCCCTTTTTCATCCCAGTTACCAATCATCACCACAAGCTCAGGGCCGGTGAAACGTATTTGAAAGTGGAGGGGCCAAAATATCAAAGTCTTGAAAGGGCTTAAAAAAGGCCGCCACCATGGTTCGCGGCAAGAAAAAATTTAGAATCATGGTGTCTTAGGGAAGGCCAGAAACTGTATTTAAAATTAATTTTGACTGAAGGTGTCGCATAGTTGCGTCTATTGTGATGTTAACTTGAAATCGAAAGTTTTGCAAAGTTTCAGAATAACCACCATCATATAGCTCGTAATGAAACCTTTTTTAGATTTTAAAAGTACCCGAAATAAGATGAGGGAGAAAAATAAATGAAACACGGATTGATAAAAAACATTAACAATGAAATATCAAGAGAAGAACTATCAACTAAAAATAAAAAGTTAAGCAATTTTGCGCAGTTAAGATACAACTTTGTAACATCTGATCTTAACTTTTTCGGAAATGAAGTGAAAAAAGAAAAACCTTCAAACTGGGCTTGTCAAAATGAGTTTAAATAGAATTTATAATTGCATCGATATTTTCTCTTTCTTAGTAGTGTAATACTGCTAATTTTAGGCCTTTCTCTCTAGTCCATTCGTTTAATTTTCTTTACCTAATCACTCTTGTTTATCTGTAACTTTCCTTGCTCGTTCCACATTTTTCTATCACGTGTATTAGGATAATCTTTTCTTATTATGAGTAACTTCATACCTACGTCAATTATCAGCATGTTAAGTAGATCGCCATAGCAACCCAGTAAATTACTTCCTTTCACCGTTTCATTTACGTATGTTTATTGTTTTTAGTTCAGTATTTATAGGAGCCCCGTACCTCCTAGCTTAGGGGCAAGATGCTTGTGAAAGATCTTGTCGCCTTCGTTTTGCTCTTAGTCGTTTTGAGATATTTATAGGAGATATATCAGTTTTGGAAGATCTCTGGGATAGTTCTTGTGAAAGATTATGCCCATGTCATGCGTTAATTATTATGCCGTTATTAGCATGCAAGTTATGTAGCTGCCGGGACGATTTTATCGAATAAAAGAAGGAAAGATTTAACCGATTTACGTCGCATCATTTATTGGCCATCCTCTGCTTTTTAAAGGTCCTGAGAATCAATCATTTTAGCAACATTTTACAGTAGGAATGGATTATCCAAACGATCAAACTCTGAAATTTTCTTGATGCCCATACTTTATTTCTCATATCCTCAAAAAAGTTCTTTTCAGCTGTTTCTTTTTCTTCAACAGCTGATTTCTCTCTTCTTGTAATGTTTCTGAGAAAGTTTTCGTTAACAAATAGACCTTGTGTGCCAAGTTTAGGCAATGGAAAAAACGAAACTCCGTCAATTTGTGCTGGCACCAAGTTATTCTGGACTAGATTTCTCGATCATTTGCTAAGCCAAGCTGTTACTCGTTGTAAATATTAGACAATGACCGATTTCTTTGATCTAACTCCCATATTCAATTTTAGATTTTATGTATGTCTTCAACGGTAAAGGCATAGCAACCAAGGTGAAGCTAAGGACACATTTAAGGGAATATCAGGCAAAGTTACTTACAGAATCATACTACATTTATGTCCACTTTTGCCTAAAATTTTTCTTTAGCTATACAGAAAAGTGGGGGGGGGGGCATGGTCCCCTGGTTTCGCCGGCCCTGAAGTTAGTAGGAAAAAACAAGCCAACCCCATAAATTTCCAAAAATGCACCAAAAAGAAGACAAAAACCATGTAGCTTTTGTTTTTGACATTTGAAAATGGCGCCAAAAAGCTGAAAACATGCCAAACAAGTATGACATGTTTTCCACTGGTCTGTTTTTTTCAAATTTTGCGGTACCAAAGGCTCATTTGGCTTTTTATCATGTTAAGACCCCACAACCTTTAGTATGCTCCACTATCCCTGGCACTGCCAGGTGGTCAAACATCGCTTTCAAACCGTTTTTGCCAAAATGAAAAGGCCCTCTCCATTAAGTTTCTTTCAAACTAATTTTTATCAATTACGTTTCTGGTCCGTAGATTGATTCTACAGGAAAAATATTATAAAATTAGTTTTGAAAACTTCAATACCAAAGAAATGAATTTTCCAAAAATTTTCATCAAATGCTGTGCTTTAGGGGGGCTATGTCCCCTGTCCCGACTCCCTAGCTAACACATACAATACAAGCACAGAATAGATACAAGCCCCTAATCTTGTTCGGTCGGGCTGTTTTTGTTGCTTTCAATCAAAAAGGAAGGGGATGAGTTGAATTGAATTTTTTGATATGGCGCAGTAGTGAGAGCGGACAGTCCAAGTGGATACTGGGAGTCTCCTACTTGAATTTCCAAGGTGAAAAATATCTTCTATGTTTCTGTTTCTTTTGTAAGCCTTTTTGATGGCCCTGTTTTGACTGATTAGTTGTTCTCATCGAAAAAAGGAGACTATTTGTCGCCTTGCATTTTAGGCCGCTAGGTGTAAGCAGGTCTGCTTGTATGTGTATTGGCAATTTGACATGGTGCTGTGCGAAGCTAGCAGTTTATACATAATGACGGATTCTGTACAGTTTTGTATCGTTTGGCTGGCACTGGAAATAATCCTCGTCTTATTTAAGACATTCGAATTGAACTGAACTGAAATGAAATCTAGCGGATGCCAAGAACTCGATGGATGCCATTTTCTTTGGCTCTTGGCTCTTGCCACTTCACACCTAAAGTTTTGCCTATGCTTTCCAAAACAGTTTGAGGTTGATTTCAGAATCATTTCCTTGAATGATACATTTGACATCCAGAAAACATGATTCTTATACGGATTCTTCATGTCAGCAGAATTGTATGTTTGAAATTTTTACCCGAAGACTCACCGCTCAAAAATGCTAACTAATCAGTCCATTAAAATTGCGCAAAATTATGAAATATTGTGTAAAAATTTTCATTTAGAGCATCATACTCCACGATATGATCACTATTTCAGTTGTGATTGGTCTTGTGGTGAAATAATTTGTTGTGCTGCCAGAAGGTAGGTCGATAGTCTATTAATTTTCTATAAAAAGGAATGTCAGTGCTTTGAATGCAATTTTTTCTCATTGGCAACAGCTTAGTTTTCCAGCTAAGTACCAGGTTTTTTTGCGCTAGAAAAATTAACGGAGGATTAATATTTATTTGGAAGTTGTATAGTATTAATAAGGATAAGAAATAATGGTGTAGTTGTAGAAGTGGAAGGTGCATATACGATATTGTATAAAAGTATCGCCATTTTTCCTCATTTGTGTACGCTGAAAGTAAAAGTTTGAATCCCAATATTTTTTAAGGATTAATCATTTAATGCTACCTTCGATGTATAATTAGTTTGAATCTTTTGAAAAATACAGACAAGGTTGCGGGCCAGGGTTGGTCATCCTGTTTCCGGAATATTTAAAAACAGTATTAAATGGACCTGATTTTTTGCTCCTTTCAGATATTTTAGGATTTTGTCGTGAAATATGAAGTATACTGTAAAATAGTTGCCTCTTTTCAAAGCTATTTTCGCATTTTGTACCGCCAAAAATTGTTCAAAGTATTTGCCCATTTTCTGCCCTTGCAGAGAAGTCGAACCGGAAGAAAAAATTGGATTTTCAGAATACGTTATAACAAGTTTTTACGGTGTCGATCGATAATTTTTTAAAGAAGCGAGAGGCAGATTTATGTAAAAAAATCCTGGAGTAGCCAAAGCCACAGAACGGCCTAAGCATCAATTTAGAGTATTTCTTACAAACTTGTTTGGGAACGGCTCTTTTGTCTAAATTTATCGCCGTGAATGATGTGAACAATTTTCCAACATTTTTATGGTTCGCCCAAGTTTCACATCGGAAAAGGCTCAATTCCGTCAAATTCTTGTTCGGATGAATCAGTTGCCAAGATCAGAAATTACAGCAGGCCCTTGGCAAGGCAATCGAAATTACATTTAGTTTACAGAATTGAAGGGGACTTCCCGTCACCATGTTGCGCGGAGGGAAGTTACCTTTGTAGGTTTCGAAACTGGGAATCCCCTCACGAACGCGGGCAATTTGAATTGTAAATTCGTTTGTCTTTCGATTTCCGAACCATCGATTCTGTGTTTTGGAAAGCAGCGATTGAATTCCAAGAGGGAATTTCAGCAAAATCACGAATCACTTTCTAGCATCTAGCAAATATCATGAGTGAGTTTGAGCGGTGGGTGTCATTTTGTTGTGGTTATTTGAGTTTAGGATCATTGCAAAGATTAAAGGCATTGAGTCATGGAAATAATTAACATTAATTATAACACAAGAAAATCACGCAAACTAAAAAGTTAAAATGCACGAGAAGATCTATGATGCCAGGGCCATCGCGAGGCAAGCCTCGTTGGGGGGGGGGGGTGGACTACAAATTTACCAGATTAAAAAATTATTGCCTGAAAATTTTTACTGCTGTCACAAACCTCTGCAATACATTTTGTCAATCTAACTCTGTATGATAATAACGGACTTTCATTTGACTAAAGCAATCCTCCTAATCCTATGGAAAATTATTATTTTTTTGCAAAAAATTTTTATAGCAGATAAAAACAAGAATTTCGCCGTGATCTTGAAAAATACCAGGTTGTCAGTTACTTCTAAATTTAGATCCCTCTCTCCATCTTAGCATGCTTTTTGAATATTAAGAAAAATCTGGAGCCCATAGTGAATTGCAGTTGACGCTTCTACTGAGAAACTTTAGGAGAAATGGACACAAGGCACAATTTTACCTAAAGAGGGCCTGGATTGTTAGATTTCATTAGTTTGATTTCATCTTCAAATCTTCAAATCATTAGTTTGTTTACCTTAATTCATATCAAGGAATATCATATTTAACCTTTGCCTGATCCTTTATTGATTTTATGACATTAATGTCTCTGAAATACCTAAAGCGTTTCTACCACCGAGCGGATTTTACCTGAAATTTCCTATTGAGATACTATTGGGGGGGGGGGGGGGGGGGGGGTGTGACAAATGAATAGTTAATAACAAGTGCTCAAGATTGAATCTCAACGAAAGAACACTTTAAATGAAACGAAAATTGTTTCGAACGTCACGTCATGTAGAGTCTGCTTTGAACTGTCATATTCAAGAGTGGTTCTGAAAAAGCTTTTCAGAGGACCGCACTTATGGCCCTCAAGAAGGCATTGCACATGGGGCTACACAATGTTTGAAGTGTGAATAAAGGAGAGGCCACTATAGCAGGCAGCTCGACGGACTCCGATGGAATTCTTGCGGCGAAATATCGATACAATAGTAGTAAATAAGTAACACTGCAACTCGACGAGAATGAAAAACAACAAACACACATAAATCAGTTATGGCTAATATTTCGCCCCGGCATACGGGGCTTCTTCAGAGCAAAAGTGAATTGTTTCAAGGTATACAATGTTTCTCAGCTGGGCTTTCTTTTTGTTATTTTTTCATGTCCCCGTCAACATGTGTTTAATTCTGACACCCCGTCTACTATGCAAAAAGAAGCAAGAAACGGTACTGCGTTCTCAGCCGAGCCTTTACTGCAATTGTAATCACGCATATTGAAACCATGTTTTTACTGATTACAGAAAATGCTTCGTTCTTCAGCCTCTGCCTCATCATGCCATGTGATCGGCGAGCGACATGTGATCATAAGCATGTGCTCCTTTGATTGTCATGCACAAATCAAAAAAGTTTAAAAAGGTAATGTGTCCATATAAAAGGACTGCGTATACCCAACTTGTCAAGCCACTCATTGAAATAACGGCTTGCAATTGGTTAATATTCTTGCGATGCAAAACTGCTCACATGAAAAGCTAACCTCGCAACAGGGTAAATAAACAGAACGACCGTAATGGCTGGGGCGATCATATGAAAAATCACATGTTATTCATGTGATATTTCCGCATAAACATGTGCTCAGTTCACAATGCGAGGAAGTAACCTTTTGTACAACGACAAAGTTTTTTTCTTGTTCTGTTATCATGTGACTTTTTCAATCTTTATATTTCTTGAAAATGTTGAAGAAAATCTATATTGTTGTAGGAGTACCACCGCAGAAGCTGAAGTCATGGATGTCGAGGAACAACTGCGAGCTAAAATTGAGGAATTAAATAGAGACCGGGCATTTCTGGAAGAGGAGAACCGAGCCTTAGCAATCCGGGCCGAAGGAGTTGAAATTCTAAGTATGTATTGAATGGTGCCACAGGACATTTTCGTTCCAAAACCCGGAACGGTTTTGTTCGGAACGTACCAGTGATGGAAGTAACTTGATTTTAAAAAGAAGCGATCTTTCGAGCTTGTTTTTTCTTTTTTGGGGAGGAGGGGGGCGAAACGGTCTTCTTCCACACACATAACCGTGTAAAACTTTGTCAATACACAGGCACGTTACCGGCCATAATAATCCATAAGGAATTATAAACTTATTATAAGCATTCGGCCTTAGGACACAGGCTCCTAAGCCATATTGGTCAAATAGAACTACCTCTAGTTCTCTGCATAACTCACGTTGGTTTAGCGTCCTCCCACACTTAATCGAAAAACTTATCTCACAAATTTTTCAGTATCTTTAATGGATACAGTTTTAGAGATAAAAACGAACCCATCTAAAGGCCCACCGAGATGGGGACAAGAAGGACTCTTAATTACATGGTAAAAAACAAACCATCTCTGTACTGGAAATGTTTTCAATGCTTTCACGGTGCTTTGCAAATGAATCAAAATGAACCAAAAACGCTGTTGATAATTCTGATAAACACGGTACATAGTAATTACAAGTACACAAGACATAATTAGAAGGTTTAACTGATTCACACAAAGTACAAAGGTACAAAAACTGCATCACAAATACTACCAGCCGATCAATTAACTGATAACTTTTAGTGGCAGTTACTTCAATGGGTGTGGTCACTCAACCTCAATATTCCATTCTGTACTGGGCATGTTTCACAATGCTTTACGAATATAAATTGAAAGTAGGTTAGGAATATTGCATGCATTTTCAAATCCATGATAAGCGCAGTTTAGGTTTAATGCTTTGGGTATGAAGGGGCCCAAGTACTGGGCCTGCCCCTTGGCCCGGTGTGGCCTTTGGCGGCCCTGCCCATTTTTTTTCTTAAAATTTTCAGATAGAATCCACACCGAAGAATGAAATCTCCTTGTTTTGATTGCTGATGTGACAACAAATTTCAATGATCCTCGAGGCAGTTTTGTTTATTTTCAGTAATAAAGAATGTTTGATTTCTCTTCTCTGATATACTTTTATCTTTCTAATTAAATTGCACTTAAAAGTATAAATCTCGTACCCATGGCTGTAGAATTCTCAAAACTCGAAAGTCATGGTAAATTCGTTCAGCTAGGCCTGTTTAGATACCCAGATTTTAATACGAATCAGTTATGCACTGCTCCTTGATATCGACTCTTACCTTCCAGGCAAAATGCTGGAACACACGCAAAAAGAGGCTAACGAATTGCGCGGGAAGCTCGCAACCCGACTTGCTGATGACGGAAGTGGAATGGCACAAGCCAAAGCACAAGCTTCAAATGGTGGCAGCTTTGAGAAGTCAAGAAGTGAAGGCGATATATCCCTAGATGTGTCTCCATGGAATACCGTTGATACTTCTGCTATGGATGTATGTTTTTTTCTTATTATACGTTTTAACAAAGGCCATTTCATAGGTTGGGTGTCCTAATCCCCTTTATGAAAATATAAGCCCTTCAGGAATGCAAAAAGGCAATAAATTGTTTTGACATTGTCGATGAAAGCAGCTCCACTTGTGTGTAATGTGCGACCGGTTAGCAGCTTTGTAGCTTTTTACGTTATACTTAGTTTAAAGCGTTTGCCCGAGCAAAGAGAAGAACGATAGTCTTCTTTAATTTTCACGTACTTTCTATGTATATAATTCTAGGTTTCATTCCATGGCAGCTTTCATGTAAAAACGTCGGCGTTTGGCTGTGTACAGTCACATTCAGATCCCGTTATCACGAGTCCTTCTTTTTACGAATTTCTCGCTATTACGACCGAAAAGTCTAATACCCTGGAATATTCCCCTTATAAGGAATCCGCGGTATAACGAACCCCTGCTTTTGCGAACTCTTTTCGTGGTCTGCAGTATTCGTAATAGCTCGATTCCACTGTATACTTATATACAACACTACTATAAAACGGCAAGGCCACATAGTAAACCACTAAGGCACCCCACGCTTCGTGCCCATTTTGTCATTCCTTGTTGAATTTTGTAGTCTCTAAGAAAATTAAACTTGAATGCCCATGTCATACAGGATGCTTGCAAATTTACGCTTGGAAAATTGACAATATTTCTACTATAAATTTAATGCATTCCCACTTCCTTTAACTTCAGTTTCGTTGTTGGTGACTCGTTTGAGATTCTGCTCAATCATCAACACTGTTTTTTGGAGGAAAGGAAACAACGAATTTGTTGTATCAGAGGAAAGAAAGCAGAATTTCGAAATGATGAATAATTTAGTTTGTAATGGAAATCCAGCACTACCTGAAGCAAGGCCTGGAGGCAAAGCTCATAAATCTAAGACAAGCATAAATGAAGTACTGTAATTTCCTCGGAGCCAAGGCCGACACCCTAATATGCTGTCAGGGCTGGCTTAAGTGGGGACTACGAGAAGAATGAATTATGCAATGGTGCATCGACGATTTTTTTTCCAGGAAATACAAAAGGAACTTTGCAGTTTGCTGCAGAGAAACAAAGACCTCGCAATGCAGCTAGAAGCAACTTTACAGGAGCAAGAAGGCATCTCGGGTGACGATCAGGCTCTCGTGGAACAACTCAATCGCTTGAAGGCGGAGCTTGAAAAATATCAAGTGCCTTCGAAGCTCCGTGATGAGGCTAATCGGCTTAAGAATAAGTTGACTGATATTGCCGTGCGACGGGTACGTATCTTTGTATTCACATTTAAAGTTTGCATGGTTTGTCTGTGCCTCTTTATGTTTACATTCGTGGTTTTTGTAGCTGTGATCTAGTTTTTGCATTTTTTAGCAGTGTCCAGAAACAAAGTTTTAACAGCGAGTCCCCTTGACCATGCGAGCGGACCCACGCGGGCTCACGCAAGCTCACGCAGGGCATCCGGGAAATTACCGTGCACAGGTGCTCGCCTAACATAAGCAATAGCTTGTAGTGATATCCCCCGCAACAAGCACCACATAGGTCAGGGTTCAGACGACCCCATGACCTTTTGGGCCTTTTTTCTATGAAAAGGGCATGCGTAATCAGGCACTCAACGTAAAATTGACGTCGCGTATGCAATTTTCTTCTCCTGGCTGCAGAGGCGTGTTAAAAGAGACGAAGACAAAAGCCTAGTCATTTCTGAAAGCGTGAATTAAGCAAAACTTGGTCCTGAAAAGCATTGTCTGCTAGAAACTTGGTGCCGAGCTTCTCTAAATAATTTTTTGCTCTCCTCCTCCAAACTCGTAAAATATTTCTTTATATTTTGATGCAAAATCAGATTATAATCTTCGTTAGTAGCAGAAACGGTCCCGGATTCTTTAATCACGGAAGTTTTGTAGCTGAAAGGGCATTTTTGCGTTTCAGTTTTTCCGCTTATGCAAGAACGTAAACTTTACCAGCAAAATAACTTTATTTCCAACCCACACTCTTAGCAGCGTTTCAGCAATGTCTGTTTTTGCTTCGACTTTACGTGAGTCATTTCTCCGTGTATTTCTTGTAAATACTACATTAAGGTGGATTTATTGTGGTAGAAGGTTATCATTACCTTGATGAGGTATGTACTGGATTTTTATCTGCATCAAAAGTTATTCAGTTTCACCCATGGAAAGTAATTGGCCTAGAGCTGCTTTTTTCCTAGCTCTTGGTAAAGCTAGTCCAGTTTTCATTCCAATTTTCATGGAATTTTGAGAAAGTTCAACCTTTAGAATTATGTTAAATTGAAGCCAAGTGTAAAGCAATATTTGATATTTCTGCTGAAGGTAAGGATTCCAGGACGAAAGTATTGAGTATTGTTGAGTTTGTGCATATTTTCAAGTGAATATTAGCAGGACCCTATGTAAAATAGCCACAGAAGAGACCTGAAACAGAGGGTTTGGTCGCGACATTTTTTCAGTTTGTTATTTTGTGCACCTTTTATTTTGCTAGAACCTATGCAGGGGAATCTTTAAAAATATTTTGATAACTGCTAGATAACAAAACCTAATGTTTCTTAGAGTTTGAAGTTGCAAAATTTATCTGTTTTTTAACTGGTTACAAATAGCATGCGGTTGTAAGTTTTAAAAAACTAAAGTTTAGCTGATATTAGAGTTCTCAAACTTCCACTTTAAGCAAATTCAGGTATTTTTTCGATGTCTTTTGTTCCGCTACGTTTTTGTATATCTTCATGTTCAAAGCAATCTGTCGTGATTCAATAAATGCTTTGCAGAGAGGCTTTAATAACATTTTCAAATTTAGAAGAACGATGGTATGTTGTTCTTTTTATTTGTGATGGATTTTCGAAAGGTCCTGGAATTTGGTGAGTCTGCCAATGGGTATCGACTAGCGTTCAGTTTTTAAAGTTCCTTAAAATTTTTTATTTTGGTCCAAGAATTCATTTTTGGTGCAAGAATTCTTATTTTAGACCAAAAACTCTTTTCTGGCCCAAGAATTCTTATTTTGGTTCAAGAATTCTTATTTTGGTCCAAGAATTTTTTATTTGGTCCAGCAATTTCTATTTTGGTCCAGAAAATTTTATTCTAGTCAAACAGTTTTTATTTTTGGTCCAACAAAATTGATTCTTGTCCATGATGTGAATAATAGCTGACAGCTCCTTGAAAAAACAAATGACCTAATATAGAGATTTCAAAATTTATTTCCATTCAAAAACGATTGGTTTGACGGCTTCCGAAATGATAATTCATAGCGGTTTCTAGTTTGAGATAATCACGCGGTCTGAAAGAGTCCCCCCCCTCGCAAAAAAGGGGAACTAAGTTGATTAACCTGCAAAAATAACCGCCAATTTGAGAAACGAAAACTTCCGTTCCAAAATCGTTTCCATTTTATTTCGATTTTTACGAAGACGATCGGAATCGGAATCCGAAAGTGGCATGTTTGCATACTGTTGAAAATGGACATTCCGCTTGTTTGCTTCTCCGAATCGCGCGGTTCTTTCCCTGGCAATTGTCATCTTCAGCTGGTAGAAGGTCCGCCCGATTGGAACCATTTGCTTTCTCAGAAAACATGATACGCTGCAGGTAGGTCTATGACATCATACTTGAAGATTATGAATGACGTCATCAGTAGTTCCTGCACAGTTTATTCATTCTCATTTAATGAAATTCGTCAGAGGTCTTCACAACCATCGAAAACGCTCATATCTTCCGTAACGAAACAAGCGAAAATATGAAATAAACCTTTTAAACGAAAACGTTAACTAAGCGGAAGAAACCGTCGCGAGATTCCATTGTTAGGTTTGCACGTGCGCTTTGAGAAATTATCGTGGGTAATCCCCCTGCGTCACTGTGAAACTGATGCGGGAAAGTACCGCGAGGGCTAATTCATCCTTTATAAGAAACGCAAAAACAAATTTCAGTCAATCGAAAAAGCCAAAGAGCGCGTTACTTTGAAGAAAAGTCAAGAAAACATCGCAACAAAGGCTTAATTGCCGTGGCGGACATTAGATGGACAAGCACATAACCAACTCAGTTTGCATTCACACCAAAGTAATCTTTTGTTGATTATGTAACACGCAGCAATATGAATACCCCAAATAGCACCTTGCCCGTCCAGGCAATGACAACTCACGGACGGTTGGTGCCATCGACCCGAGAGCCGCCCCCTCCCTCTGCCGCCAGGGAAGCCTAGAGCCGTGGAACACAGCTAAGCAGAATACGTGGTGGTAAGATTGTTTTTTGTCATCGCCTCCATCTTGGTTGTCATTCTTCTCCTCTCCGGGTTGATGTCATCGATTTTGCATCTCACTACCTACAGACCTTTCACAAAAAAGAAATTCAGATTTGAAATTGTCGTCTTGAAATTAGCTTGTACTTCATGTTGTTGGACTGTTAGGTCACGAGTTAAGTCCATTTGACTTTAAAGATCTTTCTATAGATTTGACCGGAATTTGCTGCTGTAGTGAAAATATTTCACTACAGCACTTGCAATGTATTGGTAAAGCTAAATTTTGAAACTTCGGTAATTCGTTGCCCTTTCGGCACAGACTAGTTTCAATGTAAAGATTCCAATTCTATGATCCATTTTTGGGAAATGTGAAGATAAAAAATTGCCCGGAGCAGAGAATGGATGACCATGGTCGTCATCGTCGTTATAATCTTTTCGATCATCATCATCATCATCATCATCCTTACTTTTGATTATAACCATCATCACCGTATCAATCTTGATCGTATTCAACATCATAATAGTCATCATGACTATCGTTACCAACCATGATTATCATTTTAATCTTAATCATGACAATCATCATAATCATCAAATCCATCAGAGTTATTGAAATTCTCATTATAATTTTAAGTATTCCAAAACCAAGACAATCGATGCAAATTGCGTGCCTGATCTGTTCTGAATTGCACATTTCTTTTAATAATTTATCTGAAAATTCCTTACCAGACACTCAAAACTAAGTACTCCAAATTCCATTCCTTGGCAATTTTCTAACTTTTATATCCAGTACCAGCAATTCCTTAAGTTTTTTGGCCTTTTTTGCCTATCCAAGTACTACTTTCTTTGTAAAACATCTTTTTCGATCGAATCGTGTCATCTTTACCCGTTGTTCTGAAGAACATAACTCGGAGATGTTCTTTCCATTACGTATGGGCTTAGTCTTAGCATAAAACCACAGTGCTTGTCGAAGGCATCTAACCACCACCCCAATGTTTAAATGCTTTTTTATAAAATTTAAAGCTTCCTGTCAGATATACGAGATACGATACCCGGTCTAAATACAGTGCCATTGACAAGCTTGATAGAATCCTCTTGATTGGACTGAATTGGCCAAGAGAAAACCGCTGCAAACCGTATTTATCAAAATTTTCAAGGCAGGGGTCGCGGTACTCTATGGCAAGAAGGGGGCGAGGGGAGTTTTCCTCAAGTGATCAACCATGCTTTCTGAGATTTTTCAAGGACACACGTGGGAGAAACTCCCTGTCTCATAGCAGCGCTGTATATTAACGATAGAAATGTTATATTTTTTGTCCTTTCCTTTTCTATGATAAATGCTCTTAAGGAAACGGAGCCAAGGTGGTGGTTTGTGACGTATACTTCCGCGATATCCTGTGAATTCCATCAGCACCCGATCGAAAACAGAACCCTCTCTTACTTTTTAAGCTGCGTCTTAAACCTTTTCTTTCTATTTCCGTAAATGGTCATCTGCTACACCTCGGATGGGATGTTGCTCATGCTTGTCCATGATTTCCATGTTTAAATTTCTGAGTGGCACTCTTCGTATTTCCTTATGAAATTTCCGAGATTTTTAGATTTTCCCATTGGTCATCTTCTAGACTTTTTGAATAAATTGTTTCTATTGCAGGGAACTACTTGTGGGAAGCTTCAAAAAGAGATTGATTCTGTGAAGCTTAAGCTACGTGATATAGAAAACCGCATTTCTCCTTATAAAACAGATACAACAAGTGATTTCAGAAACGACTGTAATATTCCCCAGATCTTCAACCCCCAATCAAAACTATCTGATCCGTTCAGCCTGGAATTTACGGAGATGATAACAGATGAATTGAGCAATAAAGATGCCCCAAGGGTAAGCCAAGACATTTTCTATTGATATGCATTGTTATTTAGAGTCCATTTAGATGGAAACTGGGTTCCCCCCTTTTTAGAGAACAGATGAAAGCACTGTCTTACTGCGTTACTGCTCTCTTTACTGAATTCTCTCATGATTTTAGAAATTACCATTGTTTTACAATGTTTAAACTTTCTTGTTTGCCCAGCTTTGCTTCATGGCAGCTTTTGGTTTTCTTGAATTTGTAGGGCCTGCCAGCTGTAAAACCCCGTCAAGATGTCAAAGAAATGAAAGATATAATAGAAATGCTTAGGGTGGAAAGTACAGAGTTGAAGAAGCAAATTGATGAACTCAAGGCAGAAAAAGTTGAGGTATGATTTATTAATGAGTCCCCAGATAGACTGATGTTTTTTCCTTGAAATTCTGGAGTTGAATCTCTAAGGTAGCCTCTCCATGATTATTTCCTCTGCTTGATCAAACCTCTTAATTAATCAGGGTTTATAGCAAGAAACTTCCAAAGCTAAAGTCACTAAAATCAATAATTAAAGCACAAGACAGTGCATGTAGACTTGTTTCAAAAAAAATTTCTGTTCCAAGCTCTTAAAGTGGAAAATTTCTATTGACACAGCCTCCATATCTCTGTTAAACAACAAACTTGTTTGTGTTATATGGTGTTACTGGTTTTTAAAAGGCAAATGTGGCTTATTTATTGGTGGTTTTTAGTTTGCTTTTAGGTTGTTTCTACCTTGTTATTGATTTCTACCATTGTTCTTGGGATTTCCTTGGTTTATTCAGACTGCTGTTATTCAGTTTCTTCTTTTACCCTTCTGTTTTTTAATGACAGGATAAAATGTAAAAACATATTTTTTGATAGATTATCAAGGTGAACCATTCATGGGATGCCCGTTACAAGAAGTTACAGGAGCTCTTTAAAAAGGAGATTAAAGAAAGAGACAGTTCATACCACAAACTGCAGAGGGAATTAAGTTTTGAGCACAAAAATGCTCACGCTTCAGTCAAAGATTTACTTGAACAAAAAGATAAACATATTGAAGACCAATCAAAGCAAATCAGAGAATTACAAGAAGAACTGACCAAGGTTAGAAGTGAAGGTTTTAGGGTGGACCCAGAACAAATCCCAAGGGAACTTGAAGCAAAATATAAGCAAGCAAAGAAATTGTTTTTTGAGCAGAAGCGAGAAAAAGAAATCACGATGAAAAGAGAAGAGGTATTGTCTGTTTGAATCAGTCCTGCATCCATGCATCACTTCATACATGCTTACATTTTTTAAATATTTAAGTATAGAAATGTTTACATATTATGACAGTTGTGCCATTAGTATCAAAAATAGACTCCTGAAATATATCAAAAATGTTTATAAACCTTCTATTTTACTTTTGCCAAAATTCATTATATTATTCATATATTATCTTAACCTAGTAAGAATGTTGTATCTGATGTCATTTTTATCATGTACTGTGTCTAGTCCTAGTCAATATCGATTGTGATCATTTTATATGCAACTATGGATCTTTATCTTACTATTGCAATAAGTTGGTTATATGCTCAGAGCAACCACCTTGTGCAACATAGGTTTTCAGGGCTCTATTGTCCTGCTTTAGATTTTCCGAACATGACTTGAAATTCAGATTTTTCAACTCTAGACTTACCATAGTGGCCAGTGAGGATAACATATAACCATTTCCAAGATAGCTTTCTTTCATATTCATATTTTTGTACCTGTCACTTTATTAAGTTTTGAAATTTTGTGCAAAGGGTGCTACTATTTGCAGAGATGTGCCACAAAATCTATATTAAAAGAAATGTATTTTGATGTTCAACAGGCAGCTTTGGAAGAGTGTCAAATGCTGAGGGATGCTGTAGACATTCTTGAAAGAGAGTCAAAGGCATTGGTTAGCAGGAACAGGACATTAACAGAAGAAATTCAGCGTCTCACAATTGTTATAGGTGCAGCCTCTCCGGGACAGGTAAAACTCAGCTAGCATTGCTATTAATGCAGAAGATTTAGATTATGTATCAGTTTACACAAATGAGCATCATTGGACTTTCAATATTTCTGAATACTTATAAACCATTAAACATTTAGTTCTTCAAAATAAGAGATGTCTTTTGGCTGTTTCCGGTCTATAATACTATGGCCAGTCCAAGCTCTAAAAGAGTAATTTCTGATCTACGTCTAAGATGTCCATCATTACCTTTTGAAAATTCTACTCAGTAGGAACCACTAAAATAATTAACTTTGTAAGACTTGTAAAACTATCTTCATTTTCCAGTCAAGGTCATCTCCACCTTCCTTTATGGATCCAGGAAATCAAGGTAAGAAATATTTTTCATTGTGCTGCCACAGTTTTTATGTTTATTTTCAATTAGATGAAACTTTATAAACAATCGTGTTTACCGGCTACCAATAAAACGTTAGCATTATTTATAATTTTATAGGCAATTTTTTAAAGTTTAACCTTAACCATTCAAAAAATATGATTCTTTCATATGAATGCCCAAAATTTTCTTCTGCAGGTCTGGGTAGACAAAGGAGTGTTGTGTCAGAAGAACAAATTGAAGTTTTGAAACAGCAGATTGCTATTTATGCAGAAGATTTCAACTCAGAAAGGGAAGAGAAGGAAAAAATTGCAGAGCAGGTAAAAAGAGTAACTGCAAAATTGAGAGAGACAGAGAAGAAGTGTAGAAGCTTAGAAAATGAGGTGTGTACTAGTTTTAATTGTAAGAAGTTGTTTTTGAGTTGTATGAAGTTGATTTTCATTCTTAAGCAGGTTTTGTTTAAATGTAATGCGAGTTTCTTTTATTCAGGTTTAAGCACCTCCACAAACCCTTGATTTTTCTATGTATTATACTGTGCTTTCGTTATATTTTTTCTGCTGTCTCAAATTACACATATCAAGTATACAATATACAGATGTATCTCTCGGATATTACAATCACAAAATCATCAAAATTTGAAAATAATAATATCTTGCTATCAAGTAGTTTTGAACCTATCCTTTCCATCTCTCAATTGATTAAAAAAGAATCACATTGTCAGGTTTTTCTTTTATTATTAGCTGAAAATAAAAGAAGAACGCCTTCGAACGACTCGTTATGGAGAAAGATACCAGGTTGGTTTCAGATATACATTTGTGTATTTGTGTATGTTTATTTAGGATTTGTTACTTAGGAAGGCTAGGATTTGTGATTGAAAACAATACAAGGGCATTTTTGAAAGGAAAGCAGGTCATATTTTCTTAGATAGGGCTGGTATGTTAAAAATTTTGTTTAGTAATGGGAATGCTTGTATGTAACTGTTCCTTTTTCTTGTAAACTATGGTATTGCAAGTTGTTGCAACTTTAACATCTTTTGTAGTAGCATTTAAAAAATTTAACAGAAACTGATTTGAACTTAGATCAATTGAACTAAGCAGCCTGTGGCGATTCAAATTTGCATCTCCTGTCCATCAGGTTTTCCAAAATTGTCCCTAATATCCTAAAGAAATTATACACTTGCTTTGAAAGCTTCATATTATTATGGTAGCTTACCATTTCTCCTCTGATTTGCATTTTTCGTTTATTGAAATTTTTATACACAATTTCCAGCCACTTGATATATATGATGACTTGCTTGGGCCTGGCTATGCAAATGTCGTTCGAAAGCCTGCATCCCAGTTGCAAGAATATAAGTCGCCAGAGGAGGCAAGAAATTTCCAAGAGTATCGACAGTTGTTGGAAGACAAATATAGAATAAATGAGAGAATGACAGAGCTAGAAAATAGAGGGTCAGATAGATTCAGTCCGAGGAGACAAGATTATTATGGAAATATGGTGGGTTTGAGTACTAAATTTGTAGTCAGCATACATTGTCAGAAACCTTTGAGAAAAGAAGCATTTTTGTGTACGAAAAATTGAGCACACTATGTAGTGGGTCGCGGGGAACGCAAACATATACCTATATTTTCTTTTTATAAGCGTAAATTGAGGTGGTTTTACCCTGTCTAGAATTGAGGCGGTTTTGGTTTAAATAACATTCTCCAAAAGAGGTAATGGGGGTGTTATTTTTAGTGGTCACATGACATGGATTCTGAACATGTATAATTACTTCATCCTTTAACACCCATTTGTTGAGTGGTAAAAACAAAGGAGATGTTGGCATTGTCTCTTGCATGGAGATGAAGTATCCGGCCTTAAAGAGAACAAAAACAACGAAAGAGCAATAGGAATAACTTTTTACAGCCACAATGTACCACACGAGATCTCCAGCGTCAAATATAGCCATAGCTGGCTTAGGGGTCATGAAAAAAGCACCAGTTTTTAACAGACATTTTCTAATCAAAAACTGATGGTGCCTTCAGCAACACTGATTAAAACTGATGCATTACTGACAGTCTGATTTTGACTGAAGAAGTTGAGCACGTCCAAGGTATAATATTATCACCACTGATCTGGGATATCTTTGAGTATCATTAGGCCTATCGTCTTGCTGTACAGTTTCTTATTTTCTCAATTCTTTGCCGAATGACTTTAATATGGAATATTTTTCATTTCATTCAAAAATCTTTTGTTGATTATATGTTAAGATATGAGAGGAATATCTGTTCGTTATGTTTTTAGATGTTGGTTGGAAGAGACCCAACTCAGTTAGGTATGATGGAACAAAACAATGAAAGAGAGTCAAGCAGTGAAATGTATGTTAATGGCCATGTTGTGAAGGATGGTGGAAAGCTGCCACTCGGAAAAAGCAGATCTTTTGAGGGCTTGTCAGAATTCGGTGGTTTTGGGATTGAAACTGGAAATTTTCGTAACGGAATACTCAATTAGCCATGATGAAAAACTCAGTGAAAACTTTAAAAATCTAAAGCACATCAGTATAAGAATATTATTCACCGGGAAAACACAATATCCTGAAGTAGCTGTTCAGATTATTTTTAAATTATTTTCTAATTTAATCGTTGATGCAAATGCATACTTATCTGTACTACAATGTTGGCACCCGAACCCAACTCAATTAGCGCTATTCAAATCACGCTTAGTAAAGAACATGGAAACCAATTTTAGAAATTCCGCATAATTCTCTGGCATTTGCAACTAGACCTTTCCTATTTGATTTGTTTTTTGGGTTTTGTTCAGTTTTGTAGATATAAACGCCAATCCGTTTAAATTTAATTATTTTTTTTCCATTACCTTAATATTGTGCAGCTACGCTGTTATATTAAAATAGAAAACAGTGTGCTTCCTAGCACGTGTTTATTCTCTTTGAATCCTTTGTTCCCCATGCAAAGTAACCGAGCATCATGCAGCTAAGTATATCTTGCAGTAAATGGCATTCAAGGGCCAAATAAACAGGCAGCTAGTAGATGAGATGAATATGAAGTTATGTGAAAGCTAGGCCAAGCAGGGGCTGGCTCTGGCTGATATTATGTAAGGATTAAGATAATTAAAGATTTCAAGAAAATTAGGAAGTCTGAAAACAAGACATCGGTACGGGCGACCTGGCTAAAGGCGAGGCAACTTTGGTAGGAAATCTTTTATTTTAAAGTACAAAAATTGAATCAAGAAATAAACAAATAACATGCATAGAAAATCATTCATTATATGAAATATACTTTTGAATAAGCTTTCAATGCACGTGAAGTTATACTGAGAGACTGATCTGTCTTATGCTTGTAGTTGAACAGGCGGCGCGGAGCGTTGAGAAAAGTGGGGGGGGGTAAAAATGTGGGGGGCTTAAGCCGTATAAAAAGAGGCTTTACTGGTAGTTTATAACTTGATATTTGGCATCGTCTGCAAAAAAGTGCCCCCCAGCCTCGGCAAACATCGGTGCTCGGCAAAAATTATCTGGTTCTTATAAAAAAAGAGTGTAAAGACTTCTTTTGGGGTTCTTTTGGGATCTCGCGAGACTGAAATCAACGCCTGATGCAGTACCAAAACTTTTGTAATCTTACATCTATGACTATTGCTTGATCATTCACAACATTGACTGGACTGTTCTTTGTCAAATTTGAAAATTAAGTCTCCAGAACAACTGAGGTATCTTCCGCAGTCTTTTTTATCACAAACTGCTTTGTTTTCACAAAAACGTGTTATAATCATCTCTCTTCTTAAACCCAATTTAATTCTATGGTTTAGCAGTTTCATCGCAGTCTGTTCTTGAGCCATTGTTGTCTTTACTTGCAAACTTGGTCTTTCCTAAACCATTGGTATCCTTCAATGATGGGTAGGTCATCAAATGCAGACTTTAGAATGCAGCCATTTGCACATAATAGCAATGGTACTTGTCGATGCTTCTCCAGCCTTGCCACTTCATCTGTTGATCCTTTTCCCCTTTTTTGGAAATATTTAATTAAAGAATAGCTTAGATTTCCATCTTTTTGCAGCATTTGTTTTTCCGTTTTCTGCTCAAGTTCTCATTAACTTAGGTGGTATATGAAAAGGCATATCTTAAATCGAAAGCACTAAATACAAGATGAACAGAAAACATTGCTTGAGAATCGGTTATGTTTGTTGTTGGTTTACATAGCCGACAAATAAAGACGGCAAGTTTCGGGAAAAATATGAATATCAAAGAGAACTTTGTACGAAATAATTATTTTACAACTTTTTATTTACATTTGAACGAGTTTTGAATCAGATATACTCATGTAACTTCACAAAATTGAAATAAATCCATTAAAATGCAGTTTTTGATGAAATCCGAATTCTGGCAAAATCACAAAGAAAAAATTCTTGGATTGGTTTTTCGAGCTAGCGAAAGAGGGAAATAGGAGTATGGGCATTTTCTCATCTACCATAAATACAACGCTTTTGAATTGACAAAACTTGAACATTGTAATGCCATCTATTTATTTTGCTAGTCAGAAAAGTAAACTCCATGTTGCCTTTCAAGGAAAGAGTTCAATCAATGCTGAAATTTTGCAAGAACCATCCCCCTAAACTTTTCCCAAAGCATGATACACATTTTTTCTAGAAATTGATCAATATGCGTTAGGTAGGGGTGGATCATATTTCCGCCAAAGGAACAAAGCATGATCTCACTGGCAAAAAGGCGTGGTCTCACTGGTCACACCCATAGCCCTCCCACTTCGGAAAGTTTTTCACCTTTTTAACTTGTCATCCTTTCCATTTTCTTTTCTTGCAAAGAAACATGGCCGAGAAAGTAGAATAAAGGCGTGTTCATACTAGAACAGCTTTGATGACGTTTATTCTTTTGAAAAGAATATTACAACGGTAAATAAAAAAGAAAAATCAGAAGAGTGTGTGGGTAAAAAACATCTAGAAAGAAAGCAAACAGAGAGTTCTATCCGGGGATATTAGGTATAAATGGGCCTTCGCGAAAAAAATAGCGAAAAGTGGCTCCTTTTTGGCATTTACAAGAGAGCTCAGGGGGCTCTACGCTCCTGCTTCCACCTTCATGCTTCCACCTTCATATTCAAGACATATTTCCACTTTTGACAGGAGCTACCTTTTAAAATACTTCAGAATGACTGTGACTCTGTTACGAGGCACTTTTTCAAGTTGTTGCTAAAGTTCTAACGTTAAGCTCTAATATGATTGGTTGTGAAGTCAAAGGAAACGAATTCTGCGAGAAAAAAAGTTGCCTTTGTAAATTTTCAAAAACGGAAAGCGGTTCGGTAAGCGTACTATTTTTAAATGTCAAAATTTATTCTGCGCATACTTGAAACGTAAACCGTTTTGGAAAACTTTTCCGTCAATAACGAGAAGAGGAAGTTCAACTTCAAGGCAGATTTGCCAGATGCTTGGAATGGTTGGCGGCCAATTATTTTACATTTGACGGCCAGCCAAGCAAAATATACAAAAAAGCTACATTTCGACTAATTCTGTGGAGTTATAGTGTAATCAAAATTGGCTTTGTTTGTTGCAAAAGCTCCCACTTGCTTTCAATTTCAATTTTCTGTTATCTTTTACTTTGTTTCTTGCTTCGTTATTTGCAATTTTGAGATTATTTTAACGAAATGTTGAATATTGTCTGTGCTAATGTTTTTGTTTTCTTTGTATTTTTGTAGCTTTCAACATGTCGCCAAAATTCGGCCAAATTCGGCAAAAAACTTTTGCTTTTTCGGCCAAATCAATTTTTGACGGCCAACAGCTTTGCAAAACGGCCAGAATTGACAACCCTGCTTTAAAGTAGATCTGATGGAGAAAAATATAGTAGATCAAAGCTTACAGCAACGGTTCTTGATTATATGGCCAAAAGCGAAACAGTTTGGGGACAAAAGGCTCTTAACAGCAGCTTTCTATTCTATCCAATCCACGGTAATGCAATCTAAGAATTTGCAACAAAGATACTTCGCTGAGTTTATATTCCTAAAATGTGAGTGATATGTTGTTCTACTTATTAAGTTCTATTTTTATTGCAATTTCTTTTTGTCAAACATTCTCAAATTTGTAACTTGCAAAATGCTGGTCTGAAGTTTACGCCAAGTTTGTGGGAGGGGGCCTTGCACCCATCTAAGCATCTCAATTGTGAAAGAAGATGAAGAAGAATTAAGCTCGAAATGTTGTACCAAATATTCATTTCTTGTACAAAGTCGTTGTTTCATTTTATCAAATTTTGTTTATTTTCGACCTACAAATTTTGATCTCAATTGTGACACCACCTTGGCGTACCTGCTTAGGATTTGCTGCGCAGATTGAATTTGCTGATAATAGAAACTAACAGGATTGTTCGAATTTATCATACATTAAATAGAATCTCATGTTTATGATAAAAATCTAATACAATTTGCAACAATGTCCTTAAGATGTATCAGAATACTACAATAGCAAAAACTTGAAAACAGTTGCACTTTAAATGTTATCCATTGATGAAAACAGGCATTATATTTGTTCTTCGGCAGCTTCATCGGGTTTCCATTGCTTTTTTATATATCTTCAGATCCTTCAGGTGTTTGGTTTAAAGAGTTTTAATAAGACTTAGGATTCTTTATCGTTTCTTTTTTCCTGATTTTCTATCTAATCTTTTATCTGACTCAGGGTTATTTTTGGCCTTGCGGTAGAGATAATACAACACAGCCAGAATACAAAATGGCCACACAAGCAATGTGCTTAGACCTTTTAATCGCCCAACAATTGATTTCTTGTCTAAACCAACAAGGTGCACAGTGAATATTAGTGTTGCATCACCTGAAACAGAAACGTATATGAATATGCTTATCACACAAAAAATTTTTGCTTAAGAAATATAAAATTTAGAGTCAGGATTTCAGAAAAATTACTGCTATAGAGAATAATTAACAAAATTTACGTCAATCTTTCTTCAAGTCGTTTACTTGTTAAAGGGCAAAAAGAAAGGTAAAAAGCTATATGTTACTGGAAGCTTGTCTTGAATCTTGATGAAAAAACATAATATTGAGAAATCCCAGTAGATCGATATTACTGATTAAAAAACATAATACCATGCAATAATTGGTTCAGGGGTGCAACCAGAGGCGACAGTGAAATAATCATGTTTACAAATAAGTCAGCAGTGGCTATGGGTTCTGGGCCTGGGGAAAAATACAGTCTCCTTTAAAAAGAGACAATACAGTCACAGCAACGATTTGGGAAGTTTATGTCTTCCCCCATGCAGTACGTGAGGGAGGGGGTAGCCGGAGTAAATTTCCAGGACCCGCAGGCGCGGATCTAGCCAAAATTATGACCGGTTTCGGGGTGCTTTACCCCGTTACGGTCCTGTGTGTTATTGGTCCATAAATATTGCTAAAAGTTGCTAATGAGGTTAGTAAATGTGATTAATTTACCTATGCTTTATCTAAAATGTCACAATTTTACTCAGTTCAGCGTGGCCTTTGATCGTCTTCTTGCAGCTTCGTTAATTTTTCCAAAAATTTTCCGAAACAACTAATTTTCATGAGTTTTTCCAAGAAAGATAGCCTAGTACCTCAATACAAGACCTCAGACTCTTATTTGCATCCGTATTTCATTTTATATCATTTCGTTTTAAAGAGTCCACATTTTCGGGCGATGGATATCGATATCGACTATGCTTTTTCAGCCATCATTTTTTTTCGCATAAGGGAAACATATGGGCACCAGTTTTCACAGGTTTTCAGAAAATAATAGCCACCGGTTTCAATATTGGCGCCAAACTGTCACTTTGAGTGGCGATTGATTTCCTCGATTTTGAATTCCTCGGATACTTTGGGATAAAAGATGAATTAGCAAGCTGGGAACCTGTGCAACCAGTCTAGATCCGCGCCTGGCCCGGGTCCCAAGAGAGGCCCGGGGGAAAAGTTTTGCTAATGCAAAACAATTTTAAACAAGACGCTTGTTGGACGCTTATTCGTTAGCTCTTTTAGGGACTTGTTCGTTTGCCAAGTTCTTCTATTAATTGGCATTTGACATATTTTTCTAGCGACCTTGCCCCTGGACCACTGCACCTTCGCAAGGGCATGTGTAGTTTACAGCCTCAGGGCCAGTACTGGCTCTGGATGGGCCTTCCCACTTGTCTTGCTTATCCTACACAGATAATTACATGGACGAACCCTAGTAGACCATTGGCTAAGGATAATCATGACAGTCCTTCATAATCTTTATTGCCAAAATGCATGATCAATCAAAACTTTTACTTACGGGGTATTAAATTTCCAACTCCCCTTGATCCATATCCAAGATGAGGGGGTATAACTAGCTTTCTCCTCTCCCTAAAGCAAGTAACATTTCAACTATTAAGCTTCCTTTGTTTCTAAAGAAAGCAACAAAGGTAAAATAACAGTTACAAGTTATATGCAATAGATTGATATGATATGATATATTGAGTTTATACAGCTCAGTATTCAGTCAAAATGTAAATCAAAGTATAAGCAACACTACAGAATAGCATAATAATCTATTTCAAAAGAATGAGATGGATTGAGCTTAAAATGTGATGAACATAGTGGAAGTAAACAAAGACAATATACCCTAGACACATGCCATGTATTCCTCTCTCCCACCCTAGAAAAGATCAGATATGATGCAATTATTAATGGCCCTGACATTGAGAAATATCTTAGGTCTTACATAATAACAAGAGTAGAAATAGTGTAGAATGAATACTGTGTAAATCTTATGATTGCATGCCAACTATAATAAAAAATTGGCCTTTACCTTTTATCAATGTACCAGACCCTAATTGAAAACGCAGTGGTGACCGGCCTTCGCGCATGGATGTATCAAAGATATTTCCATTTTCAAGCATCCCCTATAAAACAAAAACGGTATTTATAAAAATTTTAAAATGTTGATAATGAGCTGAAGTGTAAATTCAGCATTTGCTTCAACATTGGGACAAGAGACTTAAGTATGATAAAAGCATGATAACAACAATCTTCTATCATATAAGTAGTAATTCAATTCATTGAATTTTTTGACCTTGCTATAAAAAATATATAAACTTGACAGCCTAAGTTAATTATGATAGTATAAATCAAGTTATTGATACTCTAATAATCATGAAATCTAGATTAAATGAAATTTAATCATGTTTAATATGTGACAGGGTGCGCTTTTTTAGTGCCCCTTGGGCTTTGTTTTTGGCACAGATTGCACGATTGTGGTGTTTGTTGTAGCAGTGCTTGAGTAAGAATTATAGTGTTTCTTTTATAGGGCCGAAGCAACAAGCGTGCAAGTGTACATTGGCCCTGGGTATATAGACTTATGCTGCCATGGATTCATCCTCACATGTTACAAGACAACCTGAAATTGTACTGTGGATAGCAAAGGTTTTTTCCTTCCGACTATAAAGAGCATCAGAGTTGATAACGCTGTGCTATGTGGCCAAAACTGGCCTCCAAAACGTTGACAAGCTGTTATTTTTGGCATTCCATTCTAAATCCGTCAATCTCAAGTTAGCTTTTTTTGCTTTCAGCATGTGAGCTGTAGGGAAGTAAGAAATACTAAAAAATTTAAACAAAAAATTTTAAGCAGTTTCGCAACACACTCTCAATAAAAATGTTGTCCATATGTTGGTTTATCAATTAACAGTGTTTCTGTATTTTTTGGCTAGGATTAGGTGTTTAGTCTTTCTTGCCTTGGCTTTTTAGCAGCGATAGTGCCAGTGCCAGCATCCGGAATACTGTTCTATTGGAAAAGGTAATCGGAATCTGAAAAGGTAGATCTTCTAAGAGAAAGCTACTGTATCAGCTCTTGGCATCCTGGAACACTTGACAAAGTACAGTAGCCTTTTGTGCTGCACAATAGCTGATCTTGGCTGCACAATAACTGTCCTTGGGCATGAACTCATGAAAAAGCCATTGCTTTCATGATTACTTTATTTCGGAAGGGTATACCCTCATGTATACCCCTCCAAAAGTCTGTTACAAATGCCCAAGGCCCGGACAGTTTGGTTTAGGATAGAATTGGGATAGATAACAGTAATAATAATAATTATTTGAATTTAGTATAATGCTTCCCTTTTTTTATTATTATATGATTTTATCTGTTTTTGGTTGGCCTTTCGTGCACATGTTTGGCTGCACAATAGTCGATCTGGGACATGAATCTGTGTGTGTAGACACTTGACTCTTGGTGAGGTTATTGGCAAGTGTTCTCTATGACTGGAGGCACTTGGTTATAGAACCCAAGAACCTTGGTGAGGTTATTGGCAAGTGTTCTGTGTGTGTGGAAGCACTTGGTTCTAGAGCACAAGACCCTTGGCGGGGTTATTGGCAAGTTTTCTCTGTGTGTAGAGGCTCTTTGTTCTGGAGAACAAGACCCTTGATTTCACTGGCAAGTGTCCTTTGTGCGCAGAGGCTCTTGGGTATGGAAGACAAGACTCTCTGTGTTCTGGGCAAGTCTTCATACAGAGGCATACGCATCAAAGTTAAAGGAAGATCGATAGTGGTCCTGTATTTCTCTCATTTTGCTGACTTCATTGGTGGTTTTTTTGCAACTTCTTATTTCTTTTTCAGTAAAATTATTGTTCTGCATCAAGTTATGTTTGAAAACTATCTTTGAAATGTTTTCTCTCTGAAAACTCTCTTGGTCTATCTTTGAAAACTATACTAAAAACAATGTCCTTTTAAGCTGTTAAATTGTTAAAAACTTGAACATGCTAATAAAGAATCCAAATGTAGCAGTGAAAAAGACAAAATTACCGTATATTCAACATTCACAGTATCACCAGTTGCTGCAAATTCTTTGCAAGATTCTGGTTTGTGCTGGTGAAAGTAAAACAAAGAAGGATTAATAAGGCTGGGTTGAAACTTGAATATGAAAAATCTCAGAAAAAAGTATCAAGATTATTATTACCATATTGTTTTTATTTACTTGTGTATGAGAAAGAAACCCGCTACGATTAATTTCGAAAGTAGCAATTGGTTTTGAATAATACTTTTAAACCAGACCCTCATTATTTCAATACTCATTGTTTCTTAAGAGTTTTTTAATTATGATGTCATGAATGATTTTATGAAATGCTCGTGACCTTTTTATCACGTCAAGAGATTCGTTTCCGTTATGATGCTGCATTTAGATGTGGGAAGTATATTTTTATCCCTTGTGTTTTAAGTTCTAGGCCAACAGGGCAATCATGTTCTTGGATTTCACAAAATTTCGTTGTTCTTAGTTTTATAACGATTTAATAGTTTCTTAACTTTTTTGCTTCGATTACTGAAATTTCTTTAATTTTTCTGACTGTCCAGTACTCGTTTCTTACAGCCAGTTTCTTATAAAAAATGAGCGTACCTTACCTCTACAATTATTTGTAAATCTTGCACTTTCTTTGACAGGAAGATCGGGACCAGGAAAATCCATAAAAATATAAAGAAACATTTGTTGCCAGAAAACATAATTATATCAGAAAGGAAAAACTTTTTAAATGCTTCCTCGTAGCTTTATATCATTTATAGGAATACAAGCCGCTAAACGAATTCTGTTTTGTTTATAGTTAGAAACCTGTTGCAGAAACCTCATATTCAGATGTTCTCTTGTTTGGATACGAGGGCTTTGGAGGAGGAAAGTTTTACTATGATGGCGGATGATTTACCTGAAGTGAAAGATAATTTGAACAACGTTCTTGAGCTTTCTCACAAAGATGTTATCGAATTGTTAGATCAAGAACTAAATGATGTTATCAAAGATCCACTTCTGAGAGATCTTCCATCCTATCCAACGGTTGAGGAAATTAAATCAAGAATTGCCCTGGAAAAAGGCAAGGCCATTATAATCAATTTGAAACTTCAAGGGGAGATTGATACAGTTATACGTAAGTATAGGCTAAATAAGAAATTTGGAGTGATTGAAATGTTGCTTTTCATTTTTACAATGATATATTCGATATGAACAAGTTTGAAGATCAAATTTGTCAGCTCAAAGAACCCTCATCACTCGCACTAATTACAATAGCTAGCAACAGTCTTGAGCATTCATATTTCCCAAACAGGTCTCTGGCAGAGGGCTACTTTTGACCAGGCTGGAAATCTTGCATGTGCTCACAGCTCAGTTCAGTTCAGTTCATTTAATTTTTAAAATCCATACATACAAATCTTTTAAAATACAGCAGCAGGTTACAAAGGATGAAATAAATTACATACAATGAGAGAAATAGAGAACAAGAAAAGAAAAAAATATAGATTATTTTACAAGAACAAAGGAGATTTGCATGCAGGAATTTCTTAAAGGAGGAGCTCTCTCAATAGATAGACTAATCGAGGAGAGAGCACCCCCTGTGGTAACAATCTATTAAGCCTGATTTACACGAGACGAATTTTTTCGTGCGAAGGGAATTTTTCGCCGCGAATGCGCGAAAAATATGCGCAGAAGTGGAGATTAGAAAATTCGCAGCGAATTCGCAGCGAATAATTCGCTGCGAAAAAGTAGAAACCATTCCTACTTTTTCGCTGCGAATTTTTTCGCCATGTAAAATAAACCAATCAGAACAGCAATTGAAGACAGCTGACACAAACCCAACGAGTGAACAAGAGAGAAACACTCTTCACAACAAATCTTTATCGTCTCTTGACGTGAAGACATGGGAAAGGAAAGGCTAGGCCAAATGGTGCTATGCAATATAAACATATCTAAATCAAAAGTATGCAAAACGACAGAAAACTACGCAATTGTTCAAACAACAACATGGGTGAAGAATGACTACCCTATGACTAGGCCTCAACAATGCTGGGAAAATCCCGCACCTATAACATAAACAATGGAATGGGACGTTTCTAGCAACAGGCGTCTTTGGTGCAATAAACGATAAAAGCTCCTCATATGTAGTTGGCGACATTCGAAAGTAATTATTCCTGACAATGTAAGCGTAAGTCACTTACCAAAAGATGAAACTCCCCCTTCTGCAGACGTTCTGAATAAATTTTCCGAACCAAGTACCCATTTATTTGCTTTTTTGCTCGCTTTTTTTCAATAACAACAATCTTCGAACAGACGCCATTTTCTTTGGCATTATTCGCGGCGAATTCGCAAAAGAAATTCTGCCAGTGGAAATTAAACTTCGAATTCGCAGCGAATTCGCAGGAGAAAAATTCGTGGCGAAAAATTCGCTTCGCGCGAAAAATTCGTCTCATGTAAATCAGGCTTTAGTTTAGTATTTACACCACAGGCTGCCCAGGAGGGGGCCATAGGACCACGGAGAACAACAGCCACACAACCTCCACTCTCTCTGAAAAGAAAATAGCAAAGACTGCCCGACAGCCATCCCCATCATCCCACACCCCAATACAGAGCCTATAGTGACATCTTCATAGTCCTGAGAAGAAGTTAAAAAAGATTCTATAGTTGGTATCTGGTGGGGAACAGATACAATTTTAGTTTCCGGCGAAAAGTTGTAACTGTAGTAGATTGTTTGATGATGCAGGGAATGTTGTTCCAGGACTTGGCACCTGCATATTTAACTGATCTTAAACCATATTGCAGGGTATTTTCTGGAGTCATAAAAATATCACCTTTGGAAGCTTGTCTTGTATCATAGTGATGAACAGATGTCAAAGTTGCAAACAAATTGTGATAAAGGACAGGAGAAACCATGTTCACAGATTCATAAACAAATGTGAGCAGCTTTAACTCAAACAATTCATTCAGTTTAAGAATTTTCAAATCAGAAAATATGGGCATAGATGGAGATGAAAAACTCTTGAAGGCATTAGCTCTAACAACTTTCTTCTGCAGAAGATAGATTGGCTTTGTATGTACTTCATGAGTAAGACTCCAGACAATGACTCCATAATGGAGAAATGAGGGAAATAAAGAGTTATATAAAGAGATTAAGACACAAGTAGGTAAAAGATGCCTTACTTTGAAAAAAATACCACAAGTTCTTGATAGCTTTTTGGAAAGTTCGCTTGTATGATATTTTCAACTTAAATTTTCATCCATAGCTGTGCTATGTTTCTTGAGCTTGCACCTGACCAACAATATAAACAAACTCATGTGTATTCTAATATGGTAATGCTGCATATATGAGCATCGATGCTTTGCATCTCAAATGCCTTCAGGTTGCAAGTGTGTTGCTGCTTGCAGCTATGTAAATCTGGAATCATAAATTATTTTAAACCTGGCTTCTGGACTGTCTGGAGATTGATGCAGCAACATTTCAAGTTTTGCTTGAGGAGTACTCCTTCATGCTTTTATTCTTTAATTTCACTGCAAGAGTTTTTTTGTATAATTTAAGGGGTATTTTAGCCACAATAAAAGAATGATTGAGTCCATCATGTTTGGTTATATATGATGTTGATTGTTACATTAGGTTTTGGTTTTGGTTTTGGTTTTGATTTTGGTTTTGGTTTTGGTTTTGGTTTTGGTTTTGGTTTTGGTTTTGATTTTGGTTTTGGTTTTGATTTTGATTTTGGTTTTGGTTTGACAGACCTTTTTGTGACAAGTTTATGCAAGGATTCAATTTTTGATACAAACACAACCTTTATGATTATTTGTGTACAAATTGTAGAATGGGGCATATTACAAACCCTAAATTTTTGCTATTTGGGCTCTCCACTCTGTCCCTTTTGTTTTTGAAGTTGCTTGTAATCAGTGATGAGTGAAGGAAGAGGTTTGGGGACCATTCTACTTGTTCACATGACTCCAGGTGATGTTCAGGGTAGGTGTTTTATGGTTTTGAGGGGGAAGTGGTACAATTAAAATTTATAGCTACATTCAAAAGTTCTAAAAACAATTTTTAAGATTTCTCTACTCAACCCATTAGCAAAATACCTAAAGGGAAGTAACCCTGAATTGCTGTTGTTTCGTTACCATTAAAAAGATTTGGGAGTGCAATCTTTGCTTTGAAGGAAGAGGTTTAAACTTAAAGTGCCAATAAGATTTTATTTGTAAGACCTGATGAACTATTAGGGCTATTCAAATTAGATGTAACTTTTTTCAGCACAAGCGTTTCTAAAGTTATCTTGCTTTTTCCACAGAGTTAGTTATTGAGCAAACTGCTACAGTGCAACAGTTGAAATCAACAATCGAACGGTATGTAACATTAAAGATTGAGCGGGAAACTGGACAAAAGCATATTAGCTGGTGAGTGCCAATATACTTTGCTTCTCACTTCTTTGAGCAAATCACACCATTTCCATCATGTGTGCAATTGCACTGGCATATTTTTATTATGATTGTTAGGATGTGGAGATTCTGTGGTAATTGTGAAAAATTTTAACAGAACTTTTCATAAAAAGTTTTTGATTTAATTTTTTGCAAGGTTCACAGATGTTTCAGAATATGGAATGAAATGTCAACAGGTTTTACTTTCAAATTCTAGATGAAAAGTTTTGCCCGTAGTTTGCAAATTTGTTTACTGGTTTTAAACTAGAAACTGATGCCTAATGCCTTCATGAATGTGATTGAAATTTGAATGACCATATTGTTTATAATGCCCTCCCCATTACTTATTTATCAAACTCGTGCAATACTTTTCAAACATAAGTGTATTTCTGTAATTCCAACAGCAGTGAATGCAAAAATATAACAACTTGCTAAAGAGTATTGTCATCAAACTTGTTAAGTTTTTACTTTAGTGCTTAGACATGAACAATAACTGTATAGTTGAGTAGTAATTAAAACCTCATTATAACCTAAATAACCTTCTAAAACGCAGGTTTTTACATTCAATAAACCTTAATGAATATTTACACTAAAATGAAGAAAGGCAACACTGAACAACTAACATTAAACACTTCAAGACCAAGATGACCATGCTTAGTATTGCAATTTACCATGTGGAACAGTCAAGTAGAAAAGTGATAAAGATATGTAAGAACAGGAGAACAAAGTTTTGCAGGGGATGTTTGCCATATATTTGGTTATAAAATCAAATATGTGATGGTAAATATAAACAGGGACCTGAAATCTTGATGTGTTAAGCTAATCCTGAATTATATCTTACTAATTGAAGCTCTCTGACTCTGATAACTTCATGTCATACATGACAACCTCTGCATGGTTGAGGTTGAAGGCCTTATGACTTGCTTATTATGAGTTACAAGGTCAAGGTTAGGTAGCTATGGTTACACTGGTCCCCAAGAGCTAGAGTTACGCTTGATCCAAAGCGCTATACTTGCCCTGTTACCCACTAGATAACAGAATCAGGCCTTGCCCGGAAAGGCGCTCGATCGAGCGCGCGCGCCTAGAGCGCACCCAAAAAAAGCCTTGGAGAGCGATTTATAGAGCCCCTCAAAACGTGAAAACAATTTTAACGCGGAGCAAAAGAAATTTTTGGAATTTATTAAATCAACTTGATCAAGCATAAACAATCTTCCCAACAGACCGCAATATTATGATTTGCGTAAGATTACCCCTTGAGAAAAAATTCAGCAAATTCAACGTTGGGTTTTCGATATCATTTTTAATCTGAAAACCCTCTAATAACTATCAAGGATACAGACCATCAAGTGTAAGCGTATTCTCCGGCAGATTTATTTGATTTTCGAGCAAGCGTTAATCTTCTATTGAAGTATATATTATTTTCTGTTTTTCTTAATAACTTAAAATCGCCTGTGCAAATCAGCGATCACGTTTCCGTCCAAATTATCGCATTGCTTTTCATTTTTCATTTGCTTTTGCAAGTAGTAGATGTTCTAGCGTTTCTTATAGAATGGATAACATGAAAAAAGGAAACAAAGTTAAATGTTCAACTTAAAGCCATGCGTATTGATGAAGCAATATGTGAAGCTAAACATAACAGTAGTGATACTGACACTGTTAGAAGCTCATCGAATGATGGCAACTTACATATCTAGAAAAATCTGAACAATTTTGCGACTTTGTTTTATTATATTTCTATATTTATATTAACATATTGTTTGTTGCATATTTTGTTATTTCATATTATGGTGCTTTGTGGTATCACCGTTGAATTTCAAATTTAACATTCTTTCGAAGCTTTCGATTTGAATCTCTCGATCTCCTAAAGCTCTCGAAGGATGCTCTCAAGGACATTTACTTAGAGGTGCGAAATAGAGCGCCTAGAGTTTCTAAGGGGCTCTTTTTATGGAGCACCTTCATTTTACTTAGAGCAAGGCCTGCAGAATCTCCCTTTGTCCCCTTAAAATTTTTATTTTATGTAATGAGTTTTTAGAGCTATTTAGATTGTGCAGAGTCTTATTGGCCTGTTTTAGGTAAGCTGTTTCGTGCCGTTTCTGTGCTCTTGATATTTCCCCTGACTTTGCTGCTTTGTTTCGTCTTAGTAGTTTTCTTCCTTGAGCTTTCCAGGGTGTCTAGGTTCTTTGTGGCCTGTTTCCAAACTGAAAAGACAGCAGTGTGAATGTAAATATTAGTGCCAAATCAGTTTATAAGTCAGACATTGATTTGGAAGAATTATCATTCTGCATCCATTACAATGAAAATCGGATCATATTGCAAAACCAATGCTAGAAAGAAGTCAGAATATAATGCCAAGATGCTGTATCTGAAAGTTCCTTTGGAAAGTTGTTTTGAAATAGCTAGACAGGTTGATAGGGACCTGTTGATAAATGTCTTTTTTTGACTAGACAAGATGTTAAAATTGAAAACGAGGAGAGATGTTGAGAATATAAGGAAGAAGCAGAAAGCAAGTTTCCATGAAGGGTATAAGGTGTTATTTCTTGTATACAATGTACATGCTAAACTGTGTAAAAACATATTTCCTCAAGGTAAACGGAATGCAACGGGTGTTTAGATAAGAAGGTTGTTGTGATTGGGAACAAGTAATTTATTCACTAGACTAAAAGAAGGCGTGTCTGCCAAGTATTTCAAGGTAATTGAAAATGAAGGATATTTGCTATAATTTTGTATTAGCTAGCTTATAAAGGATATGATTAAATGAAGATTGCTTACCTTTTAACTGAAACTGTGCTAACGTGATCATTGAGGTCAAATAATACGTGCAGATTAGTGAAAGAACTGTACTTCAAAACATATGGATATCCAGTGTACATTGATTGCTGCAAAAGAATAATAGCTCTCAACAGTGTAGGAAGGCTTGGTTTGTTCCTTTTTATCAATATTTTCTTATCTTTTCTGAAATAAATGTATTCTGTCATTTGACATAGGGGGATGGCGACTCCTGCACTACACGTTCATCACTTGCCTTTATAGGTTCATTTTCAATCAATCTAAACCGACTGGTGCTTTTTACTTGCTTATTCGAAATAAATAAAATTTAGCTTGTATATATATATGTACAGCTCTTACAACTTATGTCATATTGGCAAATGCGTCCACTACACTTACCCAAAACTCATCGCTGTCGTCATTGCCAGCAAAAGTTCTCACACAGCAATCTCTTGCGGATGAACAAAGCGCCATGACTAAAATACAGACCACGCACTGTATGCCACTCAGTGCTAAAAGAAATCCGTTAAGAACCGCAAATAGCGTTGCTGTATTGATGTCCCTTTTACGACAACTTTCTGTGTCTCCGTTCAACCTTTTCCCACTAGTATTGCTGCACATCGTGGAGATATTTCCGGTTCTGACACCATGGTAGTGAACCATTGCTGAAGCGTAGCATCCAAGACTGACAATTGCCAATGAAATGGCGATGACATTCAGACATACCAATAAATGTTCCTGTTGAGATCATCAACATAGATTTTTATCAGAACAAAGAAAGGAAAATGCAAATAAGTGAAGAAAGGCTAATAATGGCGTAAAAAGAGACGTTATAAAATGGAAGACTAAGAGATAACTATGTTTTATCCAAATAAAACTTGTTTTTGAAAAAGTGCTGCCCTTTCAAGTTTCACGAAGGAACAAGGTTGCAACGAACCTTGGTGTCTCCCTCAATATCCATCGACTGGTTTGTACAATATGTATTGTTTACTTTGAGGTTTAGAGAAGCTACAGAACTCAACAGAAATCAACTGATAGCAAGAAACGATGGAGTATACCAAAATAAGCAAGGTAGACGTCCATTAGCCCTCTACCAGAGTCAAATTTGTATAAGAGCGTTGCAGGGGAAAACTAGCGGCATAATAAGCTGCTTGCTAGCCATTCCTTTGTTGATTCGTGGCAAAGCACATTTTATACTGCCAGGTGTGCTGCACAACCCATTTTAAACGAAAACAATTATGGGACACCCTGACGTTAAATTTTGAGCGATTTCCGTCAAATTTTAAAAGTTGGAAAAGGCAGAAAACAAATAAGAATCAATCATATTACTCATGTCATTGCAGATATAAGTTGTTATTACGTGTGTGGAATATTCAGGTCAGGTTATAGGAGGTTTCAAATAATATCATCTTAATTTGTCTCACTTTTTTCTTTGACTTTGACATGGAGTACGAAATTCCAATGACGCCGGTGCAAAGTATCTGCAAAAAGGTATTTGATTATAAGGAACGAATGATGTTTCTCAAAAGATTTAAGAAGGTAGCAAAATTGTTCTTTGTCTTTTCTAAATGTCTTGGCAAAATGGTGTTTATGATGTTTTAGTGCTTCTGCTTCTTACACGAAAAAAGTAGAAAAATTCTTGATACGATAGCTTGACGTGTAAAGGTGGGTTTCCACATGATCCGCTCTGTTTCGCTACTGCCTCTCTTGACGAACGCTACAACAGAGACCCATAATCCAAAGTACTCATAAACTGGCGCCGTCATGTGAGTTGACGAGTCTCTGCTGTAGCGTCCGTCAAGTGAGGCAGTAGCGAAACAGAGGCTCATGGAGTAAGTCTAGTTGCGTGATTGAGCGAATGCACATTGGAGCATGCGCAACTTGAACCTCCTCTTTCACTGCGATTGTGCGGCCATTCGCCGAGTAGTTCAAACCAGTTCGCGTTCGCCGATTCGCTGATTTGCCGACTCGCTTCGCGCCTTCGCCAAAGCCGCGCGACTAGAGTGAATCAAGTGGAAACCGGCCCTAAAGCTAGACAGTTGCGACTATAAATTTCCCACCATATGGCAACATCAGACTGCTGGTAACTACTGGCATGCAATGGAGGATAGAAATTTCACTTACAAAAAAGCCAAACCAGATACCAAATGCTGATTTAGCAACCCAGTGGTGTGACGTCATTCCTTTAAGGAGAATCGCCGTCCCAATTAATATATTCGATAAACCAATGACAACACTGATAATAGAACTGTGAAAGATCTTTTGCGACCTTCCTCCATTTTGTTCACTGTTTTGACGCGACTTTTTGATTTGTGTAGTTGCTTCATTACCCTTGGCATTCACTGTCGGTTTCTCACACTGGCCCTTTTCTTCACACTTATTTCCTTTAGTCATGTTTTGGCTCAATTGCTTGGCACTATGTTTGGTTCACCTTTAAAAGTAAGGATCAAAATAAATGAATAAGACTCTATTTACATGAGACGAGCTCGAATCCAATCTTTTCAAAGTTTTGTAAGAGTGCAAAATCACAAAGCTTAGAGAGGGTGCTGGGCAGGACTGGGATACTGCGAGGATCAAATACGACGGCCTTTTAAAAAGGCATTGTCGTGGTAAATACTGGTTCTCCGCGGGGTGTTTGTCTGTTTCCATGTGATAAGTTTGTTTTCATGTGATCAGACATTCTTTGTTGAAAGCGAAAGGCATTTGAAAAGCCTTTGTGGCATTTGAAAGGTGCAAATGGGGGAAGAAGTTTAAAAATATTTTCCAGAGAGCAAGAGAAAAAAGAGAGAAAGAAAGAACCTTTAGAAAAAGCGGAACAAAGAGAACTTACAACATCGTGTGTGAAGTTTGCTTGACAGCCAATCAGATTAGCGAAGCTATCATAATAACTCAGCTATATTTGCAATTTGGGTATACGCTTCCTATTTACAATGACTCAATGCCTTTAAACTCAAAAACAGCTTTAGGAACTGAACCAAATTTGGTCAAAATCACATGGGCTCCGACGCAGGTTGGAAAGTAGAGGGGCCAAGAGAAAATATAACAATCATAACAAAAGATTTCAAAAAAAGCTCTATTGTTTTGCAAAAAAAGTGAAGGGGCCATGGCCCCCCGGCCCCCCCCCCCTTCGTCGGAGGCCCTGAATCAACGGAATGCATGTTCAAATTATCAACGTAAACGTTTGATCCACCTGTTTACACTGGGTCTGGTTCAGTTCGGGCAGCGGATCCAAAAGTATACGTATCCACCACTTCCCGTGTAAACGCGAGTCCTTTCCGTTTTCTTTTGGATCCGATCCGGTTCGTATCTACTAAAATGGGATCTAAAATTTGAAGCTCTAACCACTGAATTTGCAAGCATCAGTTGTCCCATGAATAAATAGATAACTCAATAAATAAATAAGTAAATAAATATATCTATATTTAAATGAATATGTATTTATGTATGTATATATAAATAATTGAGGAGGAATGCCCATGAAGCTGTTAGTCGAAACGTTCTTGATAATCTGTCTTATTTCTAGAGTAGGAGCTTTTTAAAGTATACAAAAGTAAATATATAACTAAATAGATAAATGAATAAACAAATGAATGGATAACTAAATCTGTGAACAAGTGAACGTATGCAAATGTGGTAAATGCTATTTTTGATACTCGTAAGATAAACTTTGATAATAGTTGAATGATGGAGATGCCCAAACTGCCTTTATATTGAGAATTTCAAGTTTCTATGACCTGGCGTTCTCCGTTTATAGCCAGGGGTCTGGACCAGAGTACCCCAGTCTAAAAATAGAATTTAGGGGGCATCATATGATTTGGGTTTATTTTACATCTTTTTCGGCTCGTTAAACTGCCTTTGTATTGTGAATTTCAGTTTTCTATTAACTGGCATTCTCTGTTTATGGCCAATTGTACAATTAGGGGTCTGGACCATAGTACCCCAGTCTAAAAATAGAATCTAGGGGCAAATTATGAGTTGGATCTTATGACATATTTTTTGTCTTGTTAAACTGTCTTTTTATTGTGAATTTCAACTTTCTATGACCTGGCATTCTCCGTTTATGACCAAAGGTACAATTAAGGGGGATTGACCGGAGTACCCCAGTCTAAAAATAGATCTTATGGGCAAGATGTAATTTTGGTCTATATCACATCTTTTTCTTTTTCTGAAATTTTGGTGCTTGTAGCACAATTTGCACAATTCTTCTGCTTTTCTCCCTCATTAAAACCTATTCTGTACAACCGCAGTTTCCTGATTGCTGTCGACCCGACTCATCACTGTGACGTCACAAACTGGCCTTGGCTTTTGCAAGTACTACCTGATTTCAAACACACTTTTGCTGGTCAAATCATGACAATTTTGGTGTCAGACGTATCAGAAAAGATGGGAAAATATAAATCTTAAAAAAAAGCAGGACATAAAATGTTATGATTATTTAAATAAAACCAAAATTAAACCACAAGGCAGCAATGAAACTACAATTTCAGAACTTCTCTTTGAATATAAAACATAACAGAACTTCCCTCAGCTGGGGAAGAATTGTTCGATTTTTGCGGGTCAATTTACAGGCGTAACCTCAGCGATGGACGTCCCTGACCTTAAGCCTAAACCTAGCGATGATCATAGCCGTACATATTGTTAACGTATTAGCAAGTAATTCCATTTTGGTATCTGCCGGTGAAATTCACTGCAGTGGTAGCATAAAATACATTTATAAGAAATTATCAATCAAAGACATAGATGAAAAAGGCAGAAACGGCGGTCCTTGGTTAAGAAAGCAAGGTTTTTCCTCAAGGCGCTGAGATCGCTGCTTTGACTAACTATGCATGAGGTTAAAAAGTAGTGCAGCCTTCAAAGCATCGACCTACTCACCTATGTTGTATCACACCGAACTTTCTCGCATCGAATCTGCAGAAGAAGAAGAACTTGATTTTTGCATATGCAGCTTTCAACAAACTCTGGATAAGCACTTTCTAAACCCAACACGCCTTTTGAAGTTTTGTTTATGTTGTCAGAAGGATTCCATCTTCGTATTATGCACCGGGCATTGATTGTTATTGCGTTGAAAAGCAGTTGACGACACCAGAGAAGCTTCACACCTAGGCATTGTCTAGGTGTGAGCATGACGTACATACCTATAAATTGCGAATAAAGCGAGTGAGGCGCACAGGGCAATGATCACATAATCGTCGGGGAAACCTGCTAAATCCAGCACTTGAATGGATCTACGAGTTTGCGACGAATCTCCTCCCTTGAATTGAATCATAATCCGGTACGTTTGAGCTGAAGAAGGTCAGGGGCGAGGAAAAACTTTGATTTCATTTCAGCTTCATCATAATTTTCTCGCTTTGATGCTGTTTTGTTCGTAAATGAAAAGCAGATTGGCGTCGTGCTATCAGTGGCAGACACTAGGGGCGAAGGAGGCGGCCGCGCCCCCCCTCTCCCACCCTAGTTATTTGAAAGTAAAAGGAGGAATTTTTTAGCTGAAAGTATTATAAAATGTAGCCTAAAACGATACAACTTTTGTGTGGGATTCCTAATCACGACAACAATATTCAATGAGCACGATGGTAGGATGGGCCTACTGTACTGCAACCTAACAGAATAAAGTTTCATGAATAAACACTTTATATTGCATAAGCTTGCAAGTTTAATAAAAGAAGATTATAATTTCATTTTGATAAACGCATTGGTGGTTTGATCATAGTTAATTTTGATTAGCTTGATATAAAGAAAGTGTCTTCAATTTCCCAATCTAGAATAAGGCCCAATTCACGCTACTCCTTTTTATAAGAAATCCGACCAGACTTTATTCGTTTTGCCCTGTATTCACCTGATTCTGATATGAATCGGATACATTTGAAAATGCGCTTTATAAAAGGATGGAAATGACAGCGGCCTAAGTGCTGCTTTCTATTGTCATTTAAAATCTAGATGCTCGTAAGAAATGGAACCATATTGATTTTCATAATTCTTTGGGCTTGCCAGAGACAACGGCACATTTTCAAGGCACAAATTTGCTTGAATAATGCTCTTCTAGTAGTGGAGTTCCTTGAATTGTAGCTATTCCGGGATATATTACGAAAGAGTTTTTTAGAAGGATACCTTTGATGAATCATCTAATAAACAGCATTGATGAAGCAATTTCAATGAGCGTTGTCCACGTTTTCCGAGCGTATAGAGTGCGTGGTCGCAGCATCACCAGACTCTGTATCCCTTCCACACCCCCCTCCCCCTCCCTACCAACAAGCCAACGAGCAGTGAAGTGTCCGCCACTGCATGCTATGTCAAATTTTATAGAGTAAGTCTGGTAACCGGGTTATCCCAAACCTTTTCATTGTGAAAGAAAGAACTACTGTCCAATTTGTTTATCTATATATAAATTATTAGTTATAATTACTAATAACCAATTTTATAATAAAATAACCTCTTTGTACCTCAAACTTTGAAGTTTGAAAATAGCACAGAAAAGCGGAAACATGTCATGCTAAAGTCTAAAGTACTTTACGTCAGACACCCGTTTCAATAAATAGAAGATGTTAATGCCGCTGTAAGGGAAGATAGTGATTTTGAAATTTTGCAACATTTAGGCAGGATACCTGCAGAAACATGCTGATTTTCTCTAAAGTTGAAAAAGATTCACTCTCTCAATTGGAGAATTATCTATGTGATCATTTTGATGCTTAAAAAATACCCTTGGTTAAAGTTTACAACTAACTCAATCTTGCCCCAGGTCAAACCTTGCTTCGTTTACATTACGATTACCAGCCTTTTAATGTAAAAACAGAAGTGGGGTTCGAGATGAGACTTAAAAATTCGTTTCTGAATATCACAATACAAACGTGGCTAAAGTTTACATATATTAGAGGGTTGTCTCAGCTTTCGACAAAACTGTTCCAGATACAACAGAATGGTGTTATCTGGACCGTTCGTTGAGGACCGTTCGTTGAGGACTGTTCGTTGAGGACCGTTCGTTGAGGACCGTTCGTTGAGGACCGTTCGTTGAGGACCGTTCGTTGAGGACCGTTCGTTGAGGACCGTTCGTTGAGGACCGTTCGTTGAGGACCGTTCGTTGAGGACCGTTCGTTGAGGACCGTTCGTCGAGGACCGTTCGTTGAGGACCGTTCGTTGAGGACCGTTCGTTGAGGACCGTTCGTTGAGGACCGTTCGTTGAGGACCGTTCGTTGAGGACCGTTCGTTGAGGACCGTTCGTTGAGGACCGTTCGTTGAGGACCGTTTGTTGAGGACCGTTCGTTGAGGACCGTTCCTTGAGGACCGTTCCTTGAGGACCGTTCCTTGAGGATCGTTCCTTGAGGACCGTTGCTTGAGGACCGTTCCTTGAGGACCGTTACATTTACCATCAATTTCATATTCAACGTGAGACTTGGGGGTTTAACATTTTATTTTCATTCATTCAGTGTCACATTATATTAATTATTGACTGGCCTAATATATACGTGGGATCTGTAGCTGTGAAACTGTGTTTTGGTGGTTTTTTGTTGTACCACATCTCCTTGCAGTCACACTTAATAATTCCATCTGCCTCCACCATCAGTCATCATCATTATCATCATAATCATAATCATCATCATCATCATCATCATCATCATCATCAACAACAAAAGCACAACCACCAGCACAACCAGCTCCTTTATCGTAAAATTTCCAGTTTGGTGCAGCTTAGACTACAAATTACCTATGCGTTATCCCTAGGAGGTATATATGGAAAACGTACTGGTTGCTGCACAATGGCGAAAAATTGATTGACGAAAAGAAGCCAATAAGAGAGTAAGTCGCAATTGTAGCCTTGTTTTCTTTACAGTTGTAGTGTGCCGGGGAAAAACGAATTTATTTTAAAAACAATTGCTCTCTTATGGACGTCTACCTATGTAAAATATTTGAAATGTTAACTTATTCATGCAGGTTGCATTTAACCTGTAGATCGCTGTAGCTTAGATGTGAAATTTAGACATTCCATTCAAACTTTTTGATTCTTTGCTGACCCTAGGGCGACAATTGATTTTGCTCGTGTTACTAAGAATTTTTCAACAGTTATGTGCTCGTGTTTCTGATTGGCCTATTTCGATCCACAACTGGGTATATATATTTCCTAACGTAGAGTTTTCGGTCTATGTTCTGACGTTTTAAACTCTAAAGAGTGTCAGACAAAAAGCTTTAGTTTACTAAATGTTTGCTTTTTTCAAAGCCATTTTTAAGAATTTTTCTGAAGCAAACATTTGTCAGTTTTAGCTCGAAAAGGATCCTTTTTCAAAGTTTTCTATAATAAACTATATTTCTTTTTTGTATATTATCCTATCCTTAGACGCTTCCAAATTTTTCTATCAATTTGGTTAGGAAAACGAACAAGAGAGAGTTTTCTAATGGGAAGACAACAGCTTTGAGTCAAAGAGCATGCGCATAAAACTTGATCATTATTGCGCATGCTCTTGACTCCAAGACGGGCGTTGCCGCACTCATCAAAATCTTTCTCTTCTTCGTTTTCCCAGACAATAGTGCATAGGTAGCCAGTAACATTTTCCTATTGCTTAGAATTGATATCTTTTAGGTATGGGATATCAGACAACGCAAATTTATCGTTCATTAAAAGACTGCGAAGAAAATGATTGGCAAATATTTTAAGGAGGTTCGTTCTTGGAAGGGGACAGAGTTGGTTTGGAGAAACGCTTCAAGTAATACTCTGAAGTAGCGAAGGCAAAATTGATGAAAGGAAATAGAGAAGTGATGTCAAGTTGTGCTTCTCACTCATTGGTTTTGAGACGAAAAATACAAGACTGAACTGTCAACTGAGCTGCTTTTCAACAGGCATCTTTCCCAGTTTTGATTGGCCCATATGATAGAAAAAGTGTCTTTGCAACTGATAAGGTGTTCGGTTTAATGCTATATTATGTCACTTTTTTCGCTGCTAAAAAGAAGCTTTTTAGCATTTGGAAACATTATATCTCCTATTAACAGCGTGAGTTTTTTCCATATGACCTTAACAACATCAATTAGCATATCGCTTTTCTGAAGCTTAAAAACTCAGATATACTCAACTATTGGTGGGATAATTCAAATTTACTGCACTGTCTAACAGTAAGAGCTTTCTCGATCATCAATTGCTTGAGGAACAGCTGCTATTTGCCATAGTTGCGAGTTTTTAGTTTTCTAATACAACGTTTTGATGATACAATTAATCCAATGTGTTCCGTTAAAGATGGCATTGAAGATGCGGAACAATGTGTTGTCTTGTCATTCATACGATGTTCAGAGACGAGATCTCGAGAGTGTCAACGCAATATTGCTTTCAAATGGCCTAGCAAGCCTATCCAACGATGCTTTAGTTCAAGTTATTTTGTATGAAGATGAAAGGTTACCAAATGTTATTCACAATTTAATTAACAAGACTACGCTGAAAAACATCCACACATCAAACCCGTTTTTGATAACTTGTTTTTGTCCTACCCCCTCGTGAAATATTTGTAAGTTGTTTATAATTTTGATATCTTAAATCTGTGCCAATTTTGAAATAGGAGAGGCATAACACAACCGAGAGCTCTGCCTGCAGACTTCAACATCTTAATCCTCTATCTGCATCATTCTGCATCTTTTTTGGGACAGTGCTCGGGACGGTACATTTTGTCTATTTTAGATTGTTATGAGCATGAGTTAAAAAAAGTACTGATCGCTTTGAGGTAGGTCTGCAGACTTCAGGGTGCGTTTACATGTGAAGTATGGGCCAGTCAGTAGTGTGGAGCCAATGTTTGCTGCTGGCTCGTTCAAGCAACTTTACATTGCCACTGTTGGCAGAAACCACACAATAAATTCTCCGTTATCCACTGTGAACATTCAAATAAAATCGAACGATGATTACATGTAAATTCAGTCCCTTTTCTTGACGTACAATCCCCACGTCTTTTCTTCTACCTCGCTCTCTTCGAATTGCTTCCTTTTCCTGCTATTCAACTTAATGGCATTTTTGGTCTCGTTTCCGTGCCTATTCAATTCAGTTCAATGAAGTGTTTATTTTTGTGGAGCCTACACCAACAAATGTAGAAGGGGCCATAGCGCTTTCTCTATATTGTATACAAAATGAACGTTTCAATTGTTTTCGCTTGCATGCCTCCTCAATATCAATTTCTTTACCTTTCCGTTTTTTCTAGGGTTAAATCATCTTTCAATGTCTACCTGCTTCTTGTGTAGGAAAATCTTAAGAACATATAATTTAAAGTAGTAAAATTTTGCCAGCATTTATTGAGTTTTCAGTTATCTAGAGGGCTATTAAGGTAACATGAATGCAAATGTCAAAACATAATATCGGATCAATCACGGATTTGATTCTGGCAAAAGGTAGCCATGATATTGTAGAACTACCCCGCAAAAAGAGGAGGAGGAGGCGCAGACCCCATTCGAAAATTAGAAGGAAGGCTGAGCCCTCCTTAGCCGCCCTCTTCTACAGCCCTGAGGCGAGTAAACTTTAATGAAATCCTTGAGAAAGACAGACTGGATCAGTGGCATTCAGATAGAATAGAATCCATGGGAGCGCGATCAGGTGAGCTTCGCCACTCAAATGAGTTCAAATGAAGTTAGCGCACGCCAAAGCATTTCTCTTCCCCGATTCGATATTTGCTAATCTATTCGTCGCATTCTCTTAACAGATTGCAGCAGTATCGAAATTCCTTGCAACTGAAGTACAATAGCAACTAAAGTAATTGTAACCGAATAATGATGCTACAAAAAATTGAATTAAAGTAAAAGCGAACCCATTAGATAATGTTCGCAAGATCTAAGTCATGCGAAAATGTCTTTAGGAAAGTGTGGTTGGAAAAAATGAACTTCGTGAAAGGATATGACACAACAAATGCTAATAACGATTCAATGATGAAACAACAATACATCAATCGATTTCTATAATAACAAAGTTGAATGTATTGGTTTTAGTGAAAGTTAAATGTCACGGTGTACCAGTTGCCAGCACAATGTTCCAGTTCTGATATTTCAGAATTTGAGTAATAGTCTAGGACCCAGAAAGCAGCCTTGAAGGGCACTATAGAAGCAACAGAATCTGCGAGACTTCCATCGTATGTTATTCAGGTTTACGGGTTTACGGCCATCGGGACGAGACGGGAAGGAGAAGAAGAATAAAGAAGACGCTTTGATGGCACAATGTGTGTATGTGTGTATGTATGATTGCATTTTTTTAGACAATTATTGTCATTGTTCATTCCTGAAACATGATAGACCAGGACTTCCTGAAATAAGAAGAGTCGGCCCTTTAGGGAAATGGCTCTTGAAATGTTTTTTATTCTCTTGGATGCAGCCTTCGGGGCATCACCAGCTGGATTACAGCACCGTGCTCCTGCAAAGGCTCTGATAGAGGACTCACACCAGCTTGCCATGTGAGGGTTGCTACACCCTCTTCGTGCTCAGCGTAGGCAGCATACCTTCAATAGCCAACATCTAAAAGATGTCATTTGTCCCGAATATTTTGTAATCTAGAGATTTTAAGGCATGTGAAGCAAATATATTCTAATGTCGGTACTTGTGGGGATAATACGAGCGCAGCTGCTAAGGACAACCGCGCTTTTATCGCAGCTGCTTTGGTTGATCATTTTCTACACAGCAGTCAGTTACAGTTTCTCTTAGCGCTCAGTGAAACGGCCGCAAGATGTCGCACGAAGTCCTCAAGCTACTTCTCTTCCTCTGCATGATGTTGATATGTCTGTCTGTCGAACAAGCGAAGGTAATCTTAAACGTCGTCTGTTTGCATTTAATCTATCGCTCTCTATGCTTCTTGTGTAAGTATATAATGTACGTCAAATTGTTGACACTGCTCTTTGCTTTATGAATTCAGTCCACGAACATTAGTAAGGTGTGCGCAATCTAGAGACATCTGTTGTATATTTTCTACAATTTTAGTCTCAGTAAATGAAGTTATTAGAATATTTATTTAAAGGGATTTTTAAAGTGTTTTTTTGTCTAGTTTCGATTTTGTATACATTAAATTATCCTTCATTAAATTCAAGATTTGTTTTACCGACAAATAGCTAAACTGCAAGGAAATGATAATTAGGATATATATTTAGGATATAAACTAAAAGGATATATTTTTACAATTACAATGAATTAAAATAAAGTTTTGTGGAACAATTTAATGGTGAAGCTCTCTAAATAGGTACACTTTGTTATTAAAAGAACAATTTTATAAGAACATCAGCCTCAAAATTTGTCAAAAGTTAAGAACAAATTAAAAACAAGCTTCTGCAGAGACTGAGCTTCAGCAAAATGCAATTTGGAACAACGTTTTATCTCAAAAATGAGGATTTTTGGCCATGTGGGGGCTTTTTCGGTGAATATTCAAACTTTCCGGCAAATGAAGGTTGTCTCACTCACTTTGTTGGCAAACGAGGCCTGAACACGTCCCCAAAGCGAAAAAGCTAGCAATCACACTGCTTACACCCTATTAATATAAGAACAATTTAAGAACAATCCAGCCTCAGATTTTCGAATGAATTGAGAACAGTCAGCTTGAACTTAAATTTACTGGTTCTTATAAAAAAAGTGTAAACAAATCGGAGAATGAGCCTTCCCCTCCTAGGGATCGCACAATAACTTCAAATGGATTGACCAAAATACTAAATGATTGACGTAGACTTTTCGCTTCTTCCTCTCAAAAGATGCAGCCAAACCACACACTCTGTAATAACACGTCTCCGTGATTTTCCATGCTGTTTGAAAAGCGCTAACATGTTAAAACAGTAAGCACTTTTCGATAAAATGTCTAAAAACAAATCGCCGACAACTCACAATTATTGTTATATCCATGTTTTTAAGACGTCGTTACGCCGCCTATAGCAATTCAATGTAACTCGAATTTAAGCGACTAAAGGCGGGTTTTTACTTCGGCGATTCTGACTTGGACATGTGCAACTAACCCAGAGGCAGTGATCTGCTTCTGGGAGTTGAATATTATTCATTTATTATTTACTCTTATTCAAATACGATACCCTATCAGCTATTTAACAAATTAACTAAAAAAATAACTAAAGCTGCTCTTCGAAGGGGTCGTGTTTGCGTCGCTCTACCTCAAGAACTTCTTTAATCTTACTTTAGACGGACTCTCGAGGCAGAATCTCGTATTTGTTTTGGGATCTCGTTCCAGGTTATTGCTCTCTGGTACCCAAAAGAATAGATTTTAACTTATCTTGCTACCAGATTCTCTAGAACCAATTAGATGCTTTGTTTTCTTGTCTGGTTTACGTATCTTTCCTATCGGATAGTGATGGTGCGCAGGGACGCCGGAACGACCAAGGGGCAAAAAGGACGGCTTGAGTAAAAGTGCATTTGAAAAGTAATTCCCAGCTCCCAACAATCTTTTCGAAGCTGTCATTTTGTTTCGATCTTCTTTAGGCATCTTGAAAATTGGCTAGATTTCTTTGGCATACCAAATTTTTTTACAAGTTTTGAGAAATGTCGTCATGAACAAAGCAGTACCGTCAGAATTTACTATGAATCTTTTGATAATTACAAACTGCCGATGACACGTCTTTGAAAAGGGAATTTTGGCTTCTTGTCCCTCCTATCAAAAGGAAGCAGGCTCCCCGCTCCCCTCTCCGGCGTCCTTATTTTCTAAAACAGAATGAGCTAGTATTTGTAAAAAGTCAGTTATTGTACAATGATTTGTCTTAACACGCCAACTAGTTAGCAAGAGCAAATTAAACAAAAAGTTAACCAGTGCGCATGTCAATAGTGGAAGATTTTGAGTACCACAATTTCAACCAAACTCCACTTCGACACGAACAGCAGAAAACTAAACCGCCGAGCCTTTTGAGTCACTCTTCTTAAGCGCATCAAAATGAAGGGAATTGAGAAAGGAAAACCTTATTCTTTGGAATTGTAACAGAAGTGTACTGTAGTATTTCTGTTCTGTAACACGCTGCAATCACGTACAGTTCCACTTTTCGTATTACTTTTGAGTGCGTTCCAATTTTAGGAAGAGTAGGGAACGATTTAAAGGCTTCCCGTGTGAATGCAACCCCTAAGCGGGGCCTTGGACTATAGTTGTTATCACTTCAAATCTTTGATGAAATTTTGATTTGAATTTCTGTTGGTTTTGAATATTTCAATCATCACGAATTGCAGATTGCTCTGATGAACAGTTATTTTTCCTGTTATTTTTGCAATTTTGCATCACTAACTCTGCATAAATATTGCAATGTTCTATCACGAAACCTATTGAATTGTTAGCCCTATCGTGAAATATCCATACAAGAGGGCAAAATTAAATTGTGATATTATAAAACAGTTCATCGTAATCTCTTATTTGATAGGATTCATGAAATTTGATATGCGACTAAGTGCGTGGAGCTTTTGGTTATTTCTTTTGTCATTTATAGATACATTGTCAACAGAGGTCCTAACACTGATCCTTGAGGGACACCAATACCAATTTCTTTCCAGCCACCGAAATGGTTGTTTTTTAATTCTTTGCTTTTATTTGACAGGTAGAATTGGTTGAGCTGCAGGGTATTTTAACGAAATTGATATGCGTGTAATTTTGCAATTAAAAGCTCGT